TGGAAGTATCGTACTTTGAGATTGGTAATCATCATAAAAATATAGAGCTGCTACATATTCCATTACATAAGAAAAAAGATTTCGAAACAAAACTCCTTATTAAACAGTATGTCGATCTCGTACAATTAACTATCCGCGGAATAAAAAACATAGTCGATCGACCAACTACTTCTATTAATTCGCAAGCACGTAAAGAAAAATAAAGCCAACGTGAATCTCGTTTCCTCCCGTAATTCATTTCATTCATAGAGTCGACAGATATTATCTCTTATCTTTTTTGTGCGATGAATGAAAAAAAGAGAGCAAGAGTGTTCCGGTGCTACATGGTTGCGCAACCATTAGTTTTTTTGTTTTTTTTTTTTTTTTTGTTTTCGCCGATATAAACGACATACTTGGCTCGCAAAACTCCGTTACTTTTTTGCGAAGCGCGCGCGCGCATCCGTTTCTCTCGAAAAATCGCGTTCGTTTCCGTTCTTCTCGCCGGAAGTCTCTGCTGCTGTTGCAATCGCCGCCGCTGCGATTTTTCCTTTCTGCATAGTTTAGACTAGTTTTTTTTGTAACTAGACGAGTTTTTTATTCTTTTAGTATAACTATCGGCTTGGCATAATGTCAGGAGCAAAAGAACAGCCTTAGCTCGGTTTTTTTTTATGAAAGATCTCGCTTATTCTAACGAGACCCGTCAGAGTTTTTATATTTTTGTTTGGATTTCCGTAGTTGAAAAAAATTATATAAAATGTGTACTGTAATGAACGAATAGTGTTGACGGCATCTTCAAAATAGATTCTCGTGCGCATTTCAATATTGATAAAATTGAAAGTCAACTGGAAATCCTAACGAAATTTTCGAGGCTTTCAATATAATCAAATCAACATCGATAATTTTTCCGATAAGGCGAATAATGCAACGAGCAAAAAGAGAGGAACTGCGAATGGAAGAGTTTTACATGAAGAGAGAGAGAGAGAGAGAAAGGGACGGAGAAAAAAAAAGAAAAAATTAATGGCTTCCTCGGCTACTGCACTCTCTGTTCGTCGTTGTGATGTACTCGCAATGCTCGCGTTTTCCCCCATCCATTTTTTGTTTCAACCGAGCGGAAGAAGAACAAGAAGAGCAGAAGCGAAAACTCGTCGAGAGGATTGGCGGAGATAATTGTGAATAATCACATGCATTTTAACCGTGAAATCATACGCTCGGCAAAAAGAAAAGAAGAATCGCTTCGGGAAGAATGCAACACCCGAAAAATCAAGCATATGGTGCCCCCTAGCGGCTCGGAATTCCAAGTCTCTCGCTCGGCAGCGGAATGCCCGAAGAAAACGAAATAGAAATGCGAGCGATTATGAAACGGCAGTGGAATGCCGAACGAATCTTGTCTTCTTTCGAGAAGAAATGTGCCGCGAAATTGGCGCTTCCTTCGGCGACACGCAAATCGAAGATAATTGCATTTCTCGCGGATGCTTCAGTCCTCTTTTCGCACTCAGTCGGGTTCACGCGGAAGGACAATGCCGTTGCGAGGAGAGTCTGCATCCAACAGGTGTATCCGCAAAAATCTAACGGCATCCGAACAACTGGGTCACCGCAGCTTGTAAAAAAACAGTCTAATATATCTTAGTCGCGCGTTAGCGAAGTTTGGAAAAAAAAAAATTCTTTAAAAATGGCACGGGGGGGCTACATCTTACGGGCCTGCCGTTTTAGTGCGTGGATGACCTTGGCCCGTGCGATTTCGGCACGTGCGTTCGTTGTGTCGAGCCGACTCTCTTCTTTCTTTCGTCCCCCCCCCTTTCTCTCTCCTACCGTGTACGAGGGAATCAAGCCGGTCGGGCTTCGGATTTTTGCTCAGCCTAAATTTTTATTGTTCGCGAAGTAAAGAAAGAGAAATGTACCGAATCAGCTGGCTTATGTGTATATATTATACTGACGTATAATTTTCTGTATCACGCGAAAGTGAATATACTTTTCTTTTGTTTGACATTATTTCGATATCCGTGCTTTATTTTTACTCGTGCTAGTTAGGAACCTCAAGAAAAATAATGATGTCCTTGTAGCCATCCAATATATATTACAAAAAAAAAAGCCATTAACACACTTTTAACGATTGAAATGAGAAAATGAGCGCAAGCACACCACATGCGGGTAATTTTTCCTTGCCAGCAATACTTTCACATAATATATTCAGATCTCATTAAAATTCCACGAGACGCTCATTTACCAATAACCCAAAAATTATTACGAACTCTGATCAGGAAAGAAACCGCATCCACGTACCGGATAACGTAAAATTTCCACGCATTCTCAAGCGCTCGTGAGAAGAATGCACACGTCGCGTGACAAACTAGTTTTTCCACCTCGGATACATGTGGCGTGCAATGAGAATATATAATCACCATGTATAATATGAACGTGAAAATCCCCAGCTGAGAGGGAATGCGCCGTACCTTCTATTTCCTCAAATTACAACGGGAAAACGATGAACTCGGAGCGGTTAATTTATGCTCGTCAACGAACAGAGTGCCATGCCTATGCGCGGGTCCAAGTGCAATCGATTGGGAAGCCCCCTTAAGATTATAATCCAGTCCACGCCACCGGAGGAATTTAAGTAGCCTTATACTCAATCCCTTGATATAGACAAACTCCCGCATACCGCGGTCCCATGGAAACGAGAAACGAGCGACATTATCTGCTCTGGTCGTCTCTGAATGTTTATTGGTAAACTGGATCAGAATTGAGTTTGCAAAATTTTGGATCTTCCGCTTCGTCAACTTTGTCTCTCCAATTGAAAAATTAGTTTTTCAGAGCTCCAAATCAGTCACTGGCATCGACTTCCCTAACTCGATTTTCTTTATACAGGAGCACCGAAGCAAAGGTCGTGTATAATTGCAAGCGGAGTGAACGACGAATGAGAGGAATGATTCATTTTTATATTTATATTAAAATAAACGCGCGAAAGGACTTGTGAATAGCAAATACAGTTTATTGAACTCGCGAGTAATGCTGTAAATGAAACGATTGCCCAGCTGCAAAGTACCGCCTCGTACCTGCAATTTCTCATAATTAACTGTCTCTTTGCATGATCACAAGTGCGAAAATTAAGGAGAAGCCCTAAAAATTATAGGGGGTTTTTACTCTCTCATTTTTTGGAAACTTTCGAAACTTTTTATTCCGTAAGTACGGGGGCTATGCTACAACTACTCATCGTGCACACGCAAGTGCGTTATCGATGATGATTCCTGGGTTTCTGGTGCGGTTTGTCTCTTTTTTTCATTTTACCGGAGCTAACCGCACTTTCTTTTTCAATGTTACCCCAGACCGAAGGATATGTATTAGAGGTCTGTATATTAATTGCAGATACATAATGCGCTGATATGTTATTTCGTGGAAAAAGTAAGCGATACATGAATGTGCGCCCGCGAGAGCAAGAAGGAAGTGGGAAATCAATTTGTATTAATGTTTTTTCTTGAATATTATTTTGTAGCACTGCATTCTTTTGCCTTACTGTCGAGTGATGGTAAAATAATCACGCGGTAGAGGAATGTTGCTGGAGGATGTGTGCACCATAACAAAGGTTCTTAAATTTGCCTTACTCAGCTTATCAAAACTGATATAAGTGTACAGTAAATTTATGATCTTTTTCGCTGTAGTGAACCATCGTGAAATGCATTACAGCTCCTACGTATGCTCTTACACGCTAGAACTGTAATTCATTACTTTTTACAACAAGCGATAGACATTCACAAAAGGCGAAAAAAATCCCAATAAATCTCGTTTACAGCGATGTAGCAAACAAAAGCTTGCTATACAACGCAGCATCGCGAATCCACGTTGTAAGTAAAGATGCGAAAGGGAAAGGAGAGAGAGAGAGAGAGAGAGAGAGAGAGAGAGGGCCAAGGATAAAAAAGAAGTTGAAGAAGCGCCCCAAGATAAATAAAGCCGTGCGCGCCATCTGTTCGGCGACCACCTGCCGGCAGGTGTGCACCGTATCTCTCTGTTCTCATGTACGTACGTACGTACGTGTGTATGTGTGTGTCTTTCTGTCTTTTTACGTCGGTATCAATTAGCCGCGGGCCTTTTGTTTTGTGAGTAGAGCACAGCGCTCTTCCGAGGTCATTCTTGTTTATGCGCGACACGCGATATTTGGAAGAGATGCCTCTAGGATACCGAGAAGTTATTATTTCTTTTTTGCGCGGGGCAACGCGGTCAAGTAAATCTCGCATTATAGGGACAGGTGCCTTTGACGTTTCTGACGTTGTTTTGTAGTCTTGCAAGTAAGGAACCTTCTCTTTTTTTCTTTTTTGCTCTTTTTTTTTGTGTAGGCGAGGACTATATTTTCGATACTTTTACTAACATTGGTTGAAGATTTTTGAAAGATTAAAACAACTTTTTTTCGAATTTTCTATGATAAACTAAAATTATCATTCGACATTTCACATTAACATTATTAACACACATTTAATAATAAAAACTAAGATATATGACGTAAATAGCACAATCTTCATCACATATAACATAGCTAAAGAATACTTTGAAATTAGGCCAATTAAGAGAGACAAAAAGTAGCTGTTTGGTGTAAAAATTAAGGGCTAGATGAAACCTATCCAGGGATCCTCGGAGCAATGTAAATAGATACTTTACTTAAACTGTAACTCGAGAACTTCAAGTTGGCAAAAAACACGTTTTTTAATTCTGTGAACCACGGTATGCATTTCAGATAAAAAGTTTAAATTGAAAATTTTAGGGAACTCAAAATGTAACAATTAAAGCTGTAGCGTGCTATTTTCGTTAATTAGTTATTGAAAAAAGTATCAATGACCTTTAGAAAATAGCCATTTTGCTATACTTATCTATCTATCTGGTCATAATCTTATTCATTAAATATTAAATTTTCTTTTGTTAATTACTTTACGGTGAAAGTTTCCGTTAATTATTTGTTAATAGACTTATTCACCATAACGTTCAGGTGTACGAAAGGTACATTGACGTTGCGGCCTTGCTCAAGGTCAGGATTGATAATGAGTGCAGTAATGTTTATAATTCTTGAAGCTACCGCAGATGAAAAAAGGAACATCGAAATTGTGGTGCAACAATTATTGAGATACGTATGCTCAATTTTCCCGAGTGCATTAGTTTCAACGCACGATTCCAGTTTTTTTAAACATGCGAAAGCACGACTGAAACCTCCACCACCGCAGATGGCCTTCGGCTTTTTCGACCATTCATTTAAAACCTCATTATCAATAAAAAAAGAGCGGAATATTTTTTAAACTTAGCAATCTATTGAAAAAATTAACTTTTCAACTATCGGATACCACTGGATTAGTTGGTGCATCATTATGATTCCAAGGACTATGACGTAAAGGGAAAAAGCTAACGTTGTTCAGATTTATCGAAAATAGATTTTTTCCGAAATGTTCGTTGCGAATCCAGTTATATGAATTTTGAATTAGCATTTATGCAATGTATGGGAAGCCTCAGGTGGATTTGCTTGTGACACGGAAAAAAACATTGCTATTTTAGAAGCTAAGGGCAACGGGTTGAAAATGGATTTTTTCACTCGCGACTAATAAAACGTAAACATGACAAATAGAATAAGCCGTCTTGAAACTCAATACTTCTGGCAAAAAGAAAAAAATTAGATGTACTTACGATAACCGTTAGTAAACTAACCAGTATATTAGTAACTAATTAACAGAATCCATAATAGAGGACATCTTTTTTTTCAATTATAATAACTTTCTATAAAGAAAATTAAAAACAGTTCTTTTTGCAATAAATATTCGTTAAGTTAAAAATTGTCATTTTCGAGGATTATTGGTACGTTTTACAATGACTAATGAACTTTTTCCATTTGAAATGCACACTGTGACTCTCAAAAATAAAAAAAAAATTGTGTTTTGCCAACTTTGAACCCTCAAAAAAAAAAGGATACAAAATTTCGAGTTACATTTTATGTGGAGTATCTATTTACATTGCCCCGAGGATCTCCGGGTAGGTTTCATCTATCCCTCAATTTTCGCACAAAATTTTCCCTCGTGGTTGGTTTAAATCCCATCTACCCACGAGCTTGGCATCAAGCGCACTCTTCAATAATAATGCAATACCACGACACTAGCCGCTACGGAGAGAATAAAAATCGTACGTTACGTGCATTTTTCTGGGTACAGCAGTAGCGACGCGAAGATGAGAAGATACGCGCGTAAGGAATGAATAAAAAAAACGAAAAAAGAGAGGAAGTCAAGCGTAAAAAGCTTCAGCGAATCTTGTGCACATGGCGCTTTTACTCTCCAGGCATGCGGGCACTGCTACAGCAACCACGTTATGTTCTGCCTCTCCTGCGGTCGAACCTCGCCTGTGTCCCTTTTTTTTTCTTTTTTGCGGCCAAGACGTTACGTGTACGCGCGTGTGTCTCTTGGTATTGGGAAAATTCTAGGGCGTTGGGACTTTATTCACCGTTGTTCGATTTTCAATTAACATTGTTTTGTTTCGGTTATTTTAAATTCGATGGAATTAGTGTAATTTATTGATGCATTGATTGAATTGAAAAATCTTTTAAAATTTGTTGGATATATTTAATTACAGAAGAAAAAAAAATGATGACGCAACGATTAAAAAACTCTTCATTTGTGATTGGCAGGCGGCGATCCTTCAGCAGACAGCCGAATACATATACCAGCTCGAGCAGCAGAAGACCCAACTATTGTCTCAGAACCTTCAACTGAAAAGACTGGTAGATCAGCACGAAGGGGGCGAAGTACCGACAAAGAAGCGCAAACACGACAGTCAAGGTATACATAATATAGGAGTGTTGTACGGACTCCGTTAATTGAATATTGGATGGACCGCACGCGAAATTTTCGATTGAACGCGCGTGGAAGTGGAGGAGCATCATGACTGCGCGGGAGGCTAAAACTAATGACATTTAATAGGCGCCCGCGGGCTTCCGTACGTTTTTCGACAAATTGCCCTTCTCCGCCAACGAAATCCACTTAATGTATCCTTGTGTGGTTACGTGCGTTGGTATTTAGAAAGATCGTACGAGGAATTTGATTTTCGGTTTTCATTCGAGCGATTTTTCAATTAAGTGCTGAGTGATATACAGCGAAAGAATTTTCTTAACTTTTGTTGTGTTTTCAGTACTAATAAGGTTGTTTCAAAATCAAATTCTTGAATCACTTGATTTGAAAAGCATTTAAGATGTTTTGATCGTAATGCAGTACGTTTATTTATTTCGCAATAAAACTTTTCGATTTCTTAGTTGACAGTGAAAAGAACCAGATATTAAAAAGCTCTCAATTTTTATTTTTCTATTCGATTCTCGACAGTACTTCTACACATAAAAGAATGCATTAATAAAAAACGATATTTATGCTGCCACAATGGAGTATTATGCCATTAATTTTAGGGGGGCACAAGCTTTCATTACTATTTTGCTCTCTTTTTATGGACCATTAAAAGTTATTACGCGCGTAGCCGCACGCAATTTAGCAGCGTGATCGACAATGCGAAAGTGAAAAAGAGAATCGTACGCTTGATTGATACAAGTTTAATCGCGCTCCAGGAAAGAAAAATCTCATTTTATCAAAACGAAACGCATAGTAACATGAATCTTGCGAATAGAAAACAGATCCCACGTACGCGTCGTGTATTATTAAGCAATTACAAAGTTTAAAAAGAAAGAAAAAAAAAAGAAAAAAAAATGCGCCTAGTCGATTTACGATCGAGCTCTTTGTTTATTTGCCAGAGGGGATGTCTGTAAGCGCGTGGGTGTGCAAAGCACGGTGGAGAGAGATTTCTATCGTTACGACAACTACCGTTTTCGCGCTCGCGCGTCGACCGTAATTCATGCTAATGCCGTATATGCAGGCGCGTGCTCACCACCACCGGCGTGGAATTGAAATTATAGCTCTGGCGAGCGCGTGTGGATTTCATTCTCTATGCGTATTAGCGCGGGATGGCGTAGATCGAAGATAGCCGAGCGGGCTTGCGGCCGTTCGCTGCTGTAGTTTTATTTTGCGCCCGGAAGTCCCGACCGTCGCTAATTGCCCCGTCGACTTTGACGATTCGGCCGGGGAGCATTGACGTAATCCCGGCTTGCCGGGGCCCCGCAGTTTTTACGGTCGCGCGGCCTGCGAGAGTCATTGAAAGCGAAAAACAAGGAAACAAGCGCCTAGCCAAATAAAAGGAAAACAAACGTCTTACGATCCTTGTAAATCAGCTTAAGAAAAGTAAAAGCCCATCGAGTAACGGGCAAAAAGCACAAGCGAAGGCAAGAGGGGGAAAAAAGCAGCCGCGGGAGCTTTTATCGCGTCACTGGAAACGAAATCGCTTCCTGGGCCGAGTTGTATACAGAAGGCGCGCGCGATACCTAAAGTACACGTAAGGGACGTCAGCTCATTTTTCGCGCGAGCGCTGCGCGCTGCCGGCAGCGACTTTAGTGTGCGTGTTCGATTGTTATCCGTGGAATTTATCGCGGCCTTCTTGACTCTCGCGCCGAGCTATATTCCCTCGTATGACTTTTGTTTGCGCTTGTTAAAATTATGGGCTCTAGAGGTGCGTCCTCCGAGGGTTTTGCCTTTTGGAAGGGGATACAACGATTAGACTCCCTACCCATCTTGATTAGGCAAATTTAACGTTTGCCTCTATAAACTTGTCACGTAACCGTAATCTTGCCTATTTCCACAGCTATGGTAGTGAGTCTACCGGTGCACGTGAGCGAAAGTGGCGATGAAGGCTTAGGCAGTATGTCACCGGAACCGTTGTCAGTGATCACCGTGTCAGCCGATGGCCACGCGTCTGTCGGCAATAACGATCACGTTGCCGATTTGAAGCGTCAACTCGAAAGAGAACGCAACGCCCGAGCTCAGCTCGAGAAACAGATGAGGAATCTGCAGAATCAACTCTTCCCCAGTGATCGTTACCGCGAGGAGCAGCTCATCGCCTACCAACCTCACGAGGTACTTTAACTTTCGTCAATCAGTGCCGATATGCGAATCTAGTCGGACAGCGTTTCGTTCTTTTTTTATTCGTCTTCAAAATTCATTCCAACACTCGTTCAGCGTTCGCGAAAAATTTCTCTTCTAAAGTGACGATCACGAGTTAAAACGTTAAATTAACATTGAATAATTTTATAGGTTATCGAACACACAAACAACGTTCTCCAACAGGATTTGGAAGATGGTATACCGGGTCTACAAGTTGTTTCTGTCGTATCGGTACCGACGGTCGGGTCGACGCAAACCGTAGAAACGAGTAACGCCGACTCGAATACACCACCACTGTCGCCGCAACCAGCATGCGAGATAATCGTACCGAACAATGTGAATAACGACGAGACAGTGATTTCAAAAGAAGTTAGCGTTGCTGATATATTACAAGTGGAGTCGCGACCCACCAGTCCCCAACAGCAGCACGTAGCGAAAATCGTAGCGTTCGCTGGCGTCGGCGGTACAGTTTTCACCTCCGCCCTCGACGAGCAAGCTGTCGCTCAAAATGGATCATTCAGTCCTGCCTACGCAGCGACACTCACACCCACGACTGTCACCAACAAATTCGAATCTGCAAGTCAGTTTATCACGACTAGTCCAACAAGGCCGTTCTCACCTGATCAGGACAGTAGTCAACAGAGGTTGCCAAGTGTACTCGAGGCTGCTATGAAGGCTGAACCCAAGGTCGAGGTCGAGAGGTAAGATTAACCGTCATTTTCTGACTGCTGACTGTCTATGGGAATAGCCAGTTTGACGAGTTGCTTTCTTATTTTGCAGGTTACCGTCGCCCTCGAATTCGTTAGACGACGGCAGTGCGCCGCAAGCGCGATTGTACCTAGCGAACACGTCGCGGCAGAATTTGGAAACGATTGTCGAGGCGATTCGCCACTTGGAGGGCGATCATTTGTTCAGCGACGAGCCGGCACAAGACGTACCTCTGGCGTTAACGAACAAATCCAACGTTACGAATAACAGTGTGAGCACCAAACGATTGCACGCCGAGGTCAACAGTTTTCTGCAGTTCAACAACGTGCAGCAGCAATCGCCTGTGCAATCGCCATCGTCGCAGACGCAAACCGCCACGCAGCAAGTGCGGCCTGGTGTGATTGTCGTCAAACACTCGTGATCCGTAGCTGCTCGTGGTCTCAAGTCATCGTCGTCCGGTATCACCACCACCACTAGCGCGTGAGAATGGACACGCGAGCTGTTAAAGAGATGAGAAGGAAATGAAAGAATAACGAAAAACACGATCAAATTCGACGAAGTTTCATTCTGTTTTCTTTTTCTTTTTTTTTTTTGTTTGTTTTTTTCTTTGTTTAAAATAATCTGTGCCAAATAATGGGAAGTACCGTGACCATTTTGTTCCTTCATCCGTAGGTGTTTATAGAGGATAGTGACAGAAACACAACACGACTGACTTTGCGGACACACGAGTGTAATGTTTTATTTTTCTTTTTCTTTTTTTTTTTGTTTTTCATTTTTTCATTTTGCGAGAACGTGCGAGAATGAGAGAGAAAGAAACGTTGATTGCTTTTTCGTTTGAATACTGTTTTTACCTACATCACTTGAATCAGTTTTTTTTCTTCAATTCACTTTGTTTTTTTCTTCTTATTCTATTATACCCTGTGCATCTATATAATACCAGTTATATTAAGCGCACGAGCGTTAAACTCGGGACTATACTGTTCTAATTATTTTTTTTTAAATCGAAGAAGAATGAAAAAGACAACAACATATACATTGAGAGAAAGCAAGAGAGAAAGAAGTTTAGCGCGTAGTAGTTTATGCTTAGTGTTTAAATAACTAAACATAAAATTTTAAGGTATCTCATATTACATGTCTTTAATTGATAAAACAAGTAAAAGGAAACAACCCAGTGGTACGCGTTGCGTCGCAATGTAATCGCCCCAAGTCGAGTCGATGACACTTTCATTTTTTTTTCATTTTTAAGATTTAAGCGAGGATTCAGACAGACAGAAATGAAACAAGCAACATTTGTAAGCTATAAGGACAGTTTATAATTAGTGTGTTAGATACGTAGGAATTGTTTAGCGCTGCGAGAAAATGAAGTGCGATAGAGATAAAAAAAAGTGCTATTTGAGCCTGGGCTGCATGTGTTCTTTTCTTTTGCGATATCTGTGCAGCGCAAATTTACCTGAGTAGAGTCACAATGCTGCCGAATATGAGCGATTAATCGTGCGAAAAATGATAACCAAAGTCGCGTTTCATTTTTCCTTTTTATTGCTTGTGTAGATTTTAAAGAAGTCTAACGCGATGTGTCGGAATAAAGGGTGGAAGTTTTTGAAGAATAAGAGGAGACGATGGATCATAAGTGGTCGGTATGAAAATTGAATCGCGTCTCTTATTATCGACAGAAAATTCTAAACAAGCTTGCATTATTGCGTTCTTCTTAGAATCGAATACGAGCGAAATGGAATTCGATTGAAAAAAAATTAATGTACAAATTCAAATTTAAAAGAAAGCTCTGCTAAATTTAGAAAGATTATCTTGTAATGGAATCATTTGTTTCTGAACGCGTTCATATTTATAAATGATTAGAAAGCGTTTGAAAATAATTCACAAGAATCATCAGAGATTTTGTAATCTAAGGAAAGATGCAAACAGCGGCATGCTAACGTGTGAAGTGACGCATCACAATTATAATAGCATTAATAGATTTAGAATTTGCAGGATTATGGTTGGCATTTGAATTGGTACCTCGACGCAAAGAAATCAGAAACGAAAAGATGAAAATTTGTTCAACGAGGACCATTTAAGGCCTAAAAAAGAGACGAAAAAGAACAGTAAAACGCACGTTCGACGACGAGCATTCGGTTCGAGTCAAAATGGTGAAATTTTTTTCAAAACTTTAACGCTTTTCTCGCGACTCTTAGTTTCTTTATTAATTACGGACTTGGAAAAAGAAAATTATTTATTCGTTTTCTCATGTACAAGAAAAAAAATACTTTTACATTTTTCGATTACGCATTATTGATAATTATACTGCGTAGTCACGTTGCATTTGTTCTCGTTGACGAGATCCTCATGACGTGTGAAACGCGCCAAGACACTATTGAAAAGATATTTTCTTAAGTGAACGGACTAATATTTTTATCTATTGTTGTTTCGGATATTTGTGTATAAAAGAAAAAAAAATGACACGAAATCGTAGTAGGAAAGCTTGTCGATCGACGGCGAAATTTTTTTTTTTTTTTTGGCCGTTAAATGCGCAATGGCAAGTGCGCACTTTGTATACGAAAAAATAAAACAAAAATTAAGGATAAATTGTAAAAAGTAAAAGAATGGAAACGCATCACGAGCGTGTTAGTAGTACGTTTAATAAGCATTTAGTGAGAGATCATCATAAGCTTAAATTGTTTCTTTTTGGCGCTTTGAGTATACAGCTCGTGTTTTTATTTTACTATAATCACTTTTTTGTTATTTATGTAAAGCGCACTTGAATTGTCAGGCGTATTAAAATAGCGTTGACGTGTATTTCTGAGCTATGAGCTTAAGTGCGTTTTCCTTTCTTTTTTTATATTAACAAGCGATTTTTGTACATGTTTTGTAAATTTTTGTACGCTTAAGCTATTTATTATTCAGATATTATATAATCTATGTAATACCAAAATTATTAATCATTAGGTAAAAATCTCTGGAGAAGAGAAGTCGAAATTATTACAAAGAAATTTAATCTTAAGGAAATAGAGAAATACACGTCGGCGTAGTACTATCAAATTTTTGTAACAGGCTACGAAGGAACAAGCCGAAGCCAAATTCGTAGTTGTTAAAATAAGCCTTTAGTGCTCATGAAACGTCAAAATTGAAACACATTCATTATTGTAAATAATGCGAATCACCACTAATAAAAATCACTTGTGAAATTGGCTTCGGTGGCATTTTGATATGTTATATGTGGAAGCCTGACATTGACGTACATAGAATTGTAAGCAATTAAAGATAACATTCATTGACTCCGCATTCGCATAAGTTCGAAAAATGAAACAAACATTTTTCAACGCATTTTGCATCTCGCTCAGGTGTGTGTTGCTTTGTTCACGTGAGCAACGAATAACGTTGAAAATTGTCTTTTTCTTTTTTCTTTTTTTTTTATTATGAAGAAAAACCGAATTTATTTGTAAAAAGTAAATTTCTACGTTGGTACAGCAGACTATTCTTTTTTTTTATTCTTTTTTTTACTGTAGTTGTTAAGTACATGGATGACCTCGCATTCGAATGTTGCGGACATAAAGATGATAAGAATGTAGCCAACGCTTGAAATTTTTCGTAGTCAGAATAACAGAACACTACAACAACAAAAAATACTATTCGAGTTATTCGTGGTAAATGGCGACTGAAAAGCTTTTGCTTAATTACTTTAAGCAACAAGATTGCGTAAGTGACATTGTTAATAAGTTTTCACGAATTTGCTACTTTTCGCGTTTATCGAAGACTTGTAATAAATACTTCCATCGACATAAAGCTTTTTAAATGAACGATTTTATAGTCGATCTCCAGTAGTTTATGTGAACTACTCATGAGGTTACAATTCTTCGGTATGTATATGTTACAGAATCAGTTTTTTGTATTCACGCTAAAATTTTTATCACACATTTGTAACAGCTTCAAAATATAACTCTTTCTCATCCCACTTAAATTTGTGTTTTATTTTACTAGAAGCACATTAATTTTTTAATTCAAACGGTCGCCAACTACCTTTAAATGTGAAAGAATATCAATTAAGTCAAAATAATATTTTATTCAGATTAAAAATACTAAAGTTAAAAAAAATTTATAGAATGTCGGGGTAAAATATTTGGGTGCAGACAGTAAACGAGAATATGAAAGAATGAGTGATTGATAAAGATCAAGAATGAAGTAATTAAAATAAAACACGTTTGTACACATGATACACAAAGCACACACTAATTTTTTTACGCAACCAAGATTAATTGGAACTTGCGATACATTTTAGTATTTTCGTTAACACTTTTCGTCCGTTCAAGAACGAAAGGAATATTTTGTAAAATTCGTTTTCATTCACAGATAATGCGTCACTAAACGTCTTTTCATTCTTTGAGTAAACGATGCTCTTAACAAGGTCGAATTTTAATATTAGATAAAATCATAAAAATTTCAAATAAACAGAACAAAAGTACGAGCTTTTTCAAAAACAAAAATAAACATAAAAAAATGAAGCAAATGACTGAACAAGTAAAAGTTGCATTCACGTACTAACTAGAAGAGAATTCACACTTTCACATGATATACAGTACAGGGATAGAAAGAACTGTCGTTAGTTTAAGGTGCGTTTAAGATAAATAAACAAAAGAAACACATAGTAGAGCAAACAAAGAAAAATAAAGTTGTCGAAAAAGTTCCTCGTGCCGAGGTGTGTTTATATATCGTGCAAAAAGGAATTTCATAGTTAATAATTAACAAACTAACTGCCATTATATCGGAAAAACTGAAAAAATACAAGCGGTGGATATTTTGTTCACCCTACAATGTACAGAGAGACACACGCACGTTCAATTGAATTACAAAAATCCGAACTTCCTTTAAAATTAAATATCACCAACACAATGATTACACGAAGTCATCTTTACATGCAAGTTTGTTTGTTGTGTATAGAAAGAGTTGACAAGAAAAAAATTTCTCGCGCACTAATATTAATATTAGTAAGGTGTTATTTCCTCTTTTGAATACTAAATGGAGATGTCAGAGTAAATAGCAAACATAAGACTTGAAACCACGGAAAATAAAAAAGAGACCTCTAATCTGTCGACTTAGTTCGCATTTAATACATTTTTCAATGCTAAACTGTATAACCAGAGTGTATGACGCGTGTTTTAAGGGGGAACAGAGTAGCAAATTGATCTCTTGGCGTAATTTTACATAAACGAAACGATCTTTTTACAAATTTTGCGATGAAAAGAACATTTTAATGTGCTAGAGTCATAAGATTAAAGAAAAAAATGAAGTTAATCCCCCAAAAGTTGTTTATAAAATTTCGATCGTATCTATATTTTTTGTTTTGCTAAAAAATAAAAAAATGGCAAGAGCTAGTGTCTAAAGATAATTTTTTTTATATTATGTGGTAGTTTTAAGATCCAGAGTTAGAGACTTTCATTGTGAGCGCCGATGAAAAGTCTGGAGCACGTACAAGTTCCCTAATAAAAATGAAAAATGACAAAAAAATTTTTTTGCGAGCATACACACATTTATACACGGACACACGTACCACATACACATACACATACATTGGACATTCACGAAAAAAAAAATTTTTTTTTAATAATTTGTTTAATCCTGTAAAAGAAAAATAAATTTTTTGAGAACGAAGAGAGAAAAAAGACAGAGAAGTGAAACATCCGAGTGAATCTGCACGGTGAAAAATAGAAAACAAACAAAAAATGTATTTCTAAGTAGATACGCTTTCAGAAAAATCAATCCGATATGTCGTTCGACAAACAGAGAAACGAAGCAAGTAGTGAAGTGAAAAAGAAAAACGCAAAAAAAAAATAATAACGCGTATATGAGAGAGTGAGTGAACGAGGGAGAACGATATAAATTAAATGAAGAAAAAAATAATTCTCTGTGATGTAATTTTATGACTTGATTTTATTTACTGCGATTTATTAATTATTTATCGAAAGAAAGAAAAAAAAATTTTTTTAATAACATCGATCATTAAAAATGCACTGCATCTTGAATCGACCCCCCCCCCCCCCCCCGTTTATTGTTTCTTTTCAAACACTTATTATTATTGTAATAATTGTACAAGTATGTCTGCGACAGGCATGTAGGTTTTTAAACTATGTGTATCGAGCGTTTCTTTTTATCTATTTCTTACGGTTATTATTGTAATTAATTGTAATGCCATTTTTATCACCAATAATACAGCTATTTTTCATTCATTATCATCACCATGGCGTAAAAAAACAGAAGGAATGTAATGAATTACCTCCTTGCTTAAGTGCACACGGAAAAGAACAAAAAAGCCTGTTTTTAACATTTATATACCTTCAAACAATGTTAAGAACATGTTTGTCGCTATTATCGTATGATGTTTTTTCTCTTTTTATTACAGCATGGTACAATTTTCATCGGAAGAAAATTACAGAATAAGTTAGAATTTTTTATGTAAAAAAATATTATCAGTTAAAGAATTTATTAAATAATAAATTGAAAAAAACGACAAGTACATCTCTGTTCTCATTATTCAAACAACCATTCCCCAATCCAACCAAATAATATTGTTAGTTTATTAAAATAATTATTTTCTTTCATTTTATTTCAAGGTATAAAATGATGAAATACATTCCTAATGAAATCATCTTGTGAAATTTTCCGTTTTTTTACTATAAACTAACTCGAAGAGAAAATCTAAGTGAATAGTACATTTGTTGGTCTCTCGTGAATGAACTCTTGTATCTTGAAAATTCACCCGAGTCCACCTGAATAATACAATATGCTGTACAGTATGATGGAAGAAGAGCTAATAAACTAATATTTATCTCCGCGTCGATATTTCATTTTTATTGTGAAGCTCCCTTGACGCGAGGCTTGTTGCCGCCTCGAAGCTCAACGGGGAAGAATTTACTGAACGAAAAATGGGCGCGAAATCTCGATGAGCACTCGAGTTTGAATCCGGCCGAGGAACAGGTTAGTTAATCGAGGTGAGTGAGTATACAGAGCGATTAAAAGAGCGTATCTCACCAAGTCCGATCTTGTAGCTATATTTGTTTGTTTTTAGGGTAGTAAAACGCGATGCAGTATCTGCCTAAGAGAGGGAGAGAGAGAGAGAAAATAGAGAAAGCGAGAAAAACCCGCTGCGCACAGCTAAGGTCGCTCCATTCCGCCGAGCGCTTGCGAAAATAAAGAAGCGAGCCTCTAGAGCGCTAGAATTTCTACGGACAGCTGCACGGGCATCCGAAAAACGCACAGGCGTTCGGCCAGTACAGCGTTTCGCAGGGTGAATCCCCGGGCTGATCTTGGACCTCCTGGGTGTTGACGGTGGACACCGCGGGTGGCCACGGGCGCAGTCAACGGAGATCTCGCTGCTGCCTTCCCATTCGTTAAGCCTGATTTCTCTCTGCTGCAGCAGAATATTACTTTTTCATCTTCACAATGTTAATGTTAAACAATCAATTATTTATATTCATAAATGACACATGGTTTACTTTCTGTGGACATAGGAAATTTTACCTAAACATAATATAATTTACTTTCTCGATACGGTGACCAATCCATTTTTTCTATTATATGCTAGAAATTCGTGAATCCAATCTTTACATGTCGCGCTCAGACTCTACACTATCACCTATTTACAAATAAATCAATTAAACTGAACGAAAAGGTGATGTTTCTTGAAAAGTTTTGGACTAAACGTATTAGGGTCTGATTGACTAATACGGAAACTTTGTCTAATGAAACTGCAAAACTTTTCCGATAATTAGTCGTCAATTATCACATTACTATCGATAATAGTTGTCAGTTGCAAGATGTAGCCGAGAAGGACAACTAGTGGACCAGATAATCTTGTTCTTGTAAAAGTTGTAGAGCCAATGTGCAGTTAATAGCGCTGCAAATGCAGCCAATAGAATAGCTAAAACAATTATTGATAATTATACTACTTGATAAACTAAGTAAAAGATCGATTATTCAACCTAATAAGCAAAAACAAAATGTTATTTAACTGATTGACAAATCCGTGAACAGCAAGTAATTGTCCGCCGAATGAAAAAAGTTAATAACTCACTCATGTTAATACTCTGGTATTATTTATATTTATTAATTGTTCCTCCATCATGTCCTCGTTGATGCAGAACTATCTGTGACTAAAAAATAATTAGCGATGATCACTTCACGCAATTTTTATTGGAGGTACGGTAGCATACAAGATTTTCGATTCATCAAATACGTCAAATTCAGACGTATCGATCGTATAGATATAGCAATCCTTTCGATATGATAGTTTTGATCATATCATATAGGCTGTATACGTGTGAGCTGATTCTGATTCCTATTTGTCCATCGTGATAATATTGTTTTGCGAAAATTTAGAATATTGTAGTGTATCCAGTTCGTATTTTAATTGACAAGCTCTAAACTAAAGCCCGCATTGTGTAAATAGTTCTCGTAACGTATCGGAAAAACTTTTCCAACATTTTGGCACTTCCAATTTTATACAATTGCTTGCTCACTTTGACCAATCACCAAAACCAGACATTTGAAACTCTGCATTGTTCTCCGTCGTCTGCCCGTCATAACGGCATGGTGTCTGTACCCCAGGACTTTGCTGGAAGAAGAAAACAGAAAGAAAAACCATTTTCCGCCGTCTCCACGCGAAGATGCTGTGGATTTCGGCATACGAAAAATTTAGATATGTTAACAGATCCGATGTAATTTTTTTTACATTTGTGGTAAATTTTTAAGTGCTAAATAATGTAAGAAGTAATCTGATAAGTTGATAACAATTTATGAAATATGCTTCGATTCATTCATAATAAATTCAAATATGTACAGGATCCTAGTATAATTTACACTTATTGCATAATGACGTTATCTTCGTGAGGACATTTTATTTTTCTCAATTTCTACTTTTAAAACTGTTTTTTTAACAATCGTCTGGAATAAGAAATGAGATGAGAACCCTCATTTTTCCTTTAAGAAAAAGGTTGAGCATCTGCGCTTTTGAGAAAGAAAACTCTGCGAGTCGGTAAGCAGAGAGTTAGAGATCCGAATTCTAAGTAAACGCAGTAGAACTCTGAGAAAAAAAACAAGCTTGGGTTCGACCGGCCTCTTAGAAGTGGACCTTTTTCTCTCGCTTTCCCTTAAAACAGACAGTGCGCACAAACAGCCACTCACAATGCTTCCTGGAAAGCTCGCTTAGCGATAGGGAGTCTTAAAACTACATCCTGTTTTTGTTTTTCACTTCCTTTTTGGTCTTTTCTTTGTCTCCAACATTTTCTCATTAGAAATATCTTAAGAAAAACCTTTTAATTAAGGTATTAATTACAGTTTAATTAATACCTTTCGATAAATAAAAATTATGACTCTCTAAGATCCTTAATTGAGTTTTCAATCTAACCATAGGTCAGAAAGTATTGCAAACTAAAGTAAAGTCCATAATTTCAAGTCAGTTTTTAGTTATTTTTATACTTCCTTATTATTAAACTTCGAGATTTTTCTACGATAGTCATTTTTAGGAATCACATTATATCATTATTAAAATTTACTTTTTAATAACAATTAAGGTTTGGATAAATAGAATATAGGTTCCACTAGTGAACGAGAAGCTCAATTTGAATAATAAACTATAATGCTATAATTTTCAATTGACTGGAAGCAAATTCAAAGACTATATTTCTTTATCTTCATATCATATTTACAATTTAATAAAGGCAAAAGAAGTAAATTCAATAAAATATAATAGTTGCTTAGAAAAGTATGTATTTAAAAAAATTTCGAATTACATTTATTTTTCTCATAATGGCGCATTGTCACACGTAGTCGTAAGTAATTATTTGTTAATTATTCTTATTGAAAACGGTGTGGGTTTTTCTCTCCAAATCAATTCTTGAAGCGCCATCTCTTAAGAAAAGTTGGTAATAGAAAGGCGTCGTTCGGCGGTCTGTGCGGCCTAAGCGATCTTTTGGAGATGTTTGAGTTATCTAAAGGGCCTCAAGGAGTAAAAAGGGCCTCAAGCAATAAAAAGCCTTGCGCGCTCCGTCGGCCCCGCTCGCACACGCACTTTCGCTTTCATTCTTGACCAAGGATAGTTTCGTCTTCAGAAGGAAGGATGCTACTCGAATAAGCCAAGCATCCGTATATCAACTTTAAAGGAACAAAAGTTTTCATGAGCCAATCTATTTGTTAGCGCGCAAAGCTACAAATTTCATTTGTTTTCCGATTGTTTTTATTGAAATAAGCAAAAGTAAGTTAGAATCAAGTAAACTATTCATCTGTTTTCTTTTGTCCGAAGATATAATGCATAATTGATTAAAATATTAATTTATAAGAAAAGGTATTACCGAATTATTATTTGTTTTTGGTTTTCATTTTTTTTTTTCGAGTTTTTATATTAATAAGAAAAGAAATTATCGAAATTTGTTTTTTGGATCTTCTTTTCCTAAATAACTGTGTATCTTTTATTTAATTTAAAGATAGAATACGCTCGGCTGTTTTAGTTACTTTTCTCTTAACAAGTGCTCGTCCCATTTTTAGCGTCGTGCACAAACTCAAAAGAGCAACCCTGAGACACATCTTTGCAAGATGTACCTGAGAATGATCCAATTTACATGTAATTTATAATTAATTATATATTTTTAAAATCTACATTATTTTTGCGTCAATACCATTAATGCAAAAGAAATATGGTCTGAAATTTATTTTTCAGATTTGGTTTGCTGCAATTATAGATTTATTGACTTTGATTCATAAATAGATGTAATACTTTTAACAATGTCAGAAAATACAACTATTGACGTGTATTTGAAAAAAATATTATCAAAATCAATTGTCATTTGTAATTGAACATTCATTGATAATCAGGACCTAGATTTCAAACCTAATAAATGATTATTTTTGAATCTATAGCTTTAAATACGATGCTACGTAGAACACGTATGAATTTATGATATGTAAAATTTTAAAAGATATAACAGATAACTTTTATTATGCGATAAATGAAACATTGAAGTGCTTATAAATAATTTAGTAGATTTTTTTTAATTACTACACGACGAATCGTGAAATCTTCACAGTAAATTTTAAGATAAAAACGTTTGTAATATCTGTCGAAAGCAAGTTAAAAAAAATTAAGTTTCGAGTTTGTGATCACGTCGGTAATAGAGTGAAAAAAGCGTTCAAGCATAAAATTACCGTAGAAGTTAAACATAAATACGCCTCGTAGACTGCGGAGAGCCGAGTTGTATAATTTTGCTATCCATCGACGAACCTCTCTGCAACTTGGCAAGGCACCGAAAGATTACTAAACTCAGCTTAATCCCCGAGATTATTTTTTGATTGTGATCTATGTTCAGCCAACTCCTATCACTAAGACATTTTAGAATCTTGAGGATTAAGATTAAGTTCCTCCTAAGCAAAAGTTGGACCTAAGACTGAATTTTCGTTATTTCTGATCGGAAATCTGACCTTGTTATGTTACGGAGCTCAGACCTATATGCCTGGTAGCGTTGACTATAGCTTACTTATATTTTACTTGATTGCTTAGAAATTCAACTAAATAACATTGGTCAATCTTTTTGAATGAGACGCTATATGTTCACTTATACAAATAACTTCATATTTGTTTTGGACCAGAGAAATTTTTTTGATATGTGACTAAGCTGTTAAGCTTATATCTTTGGTAGTATTGACTATAATTTAGTTATATTTCGGTTGATTATCTCACAATCGAACTCAGGTAAATTAGTAGATTTCTTGGAAGGAAATTGAAATTGCATTGAGAAATTCAAGTTTTTTTACTTGATGTAGCGTATTTCTGAGAAGAGAAAAACATTCTTAGAGTAAAAAGATCTTAAAATCAAAGTTCAATCTTGATATTTAAGATTTTCATTTAATTCAAATACATTGTTTTGCGTGCAGTATTCGGCCGATTTGCGCTCCTTGCGTCGAGAGCGAGTACAATTTTTATAGTCTGTGGTTTCGTCGACAGAGGCCTCAACATTTGTTCCCCCTAGCTCTGGCTAGCATATGCCACCTCGAAAACGGAAAGGAGAGACGGTTTAGTCTGCCAAACGCGCGAACGCGCGAACGAGGATAAAAAGAAAGCAGCCGGTGGTCTCTTTCTTTTCGCGTTTGGGGCCCGTGCGGGAAAATCCAAAATGTAGGGCTACACCCTCGGGTCCCGCTGATTGGGCCCTTGTCGGGAGAGTTTTTTTACGAGCCTCTCGCTGCTGCCGACAACGCGAAGCCGCGGGTAGTTTCTCGTGGAAAATTACGAAGCACGCCTCGCGTTGATCATCGGGCCGCTCTCGTGAACTCGCAACGCGCGTTATCCGAATGCGATCGCCTAATATCTGGTGCGCCTAATAATGCTTCGTTTGCGTGCTCGTCAGTGCGCATCCCTCGGCAGCTCGACGTGACCAGCGTCGGCTCACGAGGCGCAACTGCTCCCCCTATACGGGAGCGCGTCTCCGATGTACGCGGCATTGGGCCCTAATTCTGCGTCGCTCTCTTGCTAGCACTACAGCGAAGGGCTGACGCGTGCGTCGATCTGGTAAGCGAGCGACAAACGGACCTGAATCACCGATAATATCGCGTCTCCATCTAAAGTCACCTTATTTCTACTATGGTCGTTGCGTGCTTTTACTTTGACTTTCCACTTTATTTTATTTCTAGGAATCTTAGCATTCTGTTTTATTTGAAGTATTTAAATGGCTTCTGCTCCACTTATGACTGAGGTTTTTCGTGTCAGCTAAATAGATTTTCTTATTTTTTCCTTTTCCTCTTTTGCGATATTTACATTAGTTAGCTTAACCCCGAGTTGTTTGCACAAACCACACCTTAACGGCATATCCTCCAGCTGTTTATGAGGCTTCTTTTAATTCAACGTCTTGCTGTATCTTCTTTTCGAATTAGTATTTTAGATTCATTCGGATCCAGTCAAAAATTTTAGAATAATTTTCTCTGTAAAAGTAATAGCGTGGTTCAAGTTCGATCTGAACTGGAGTAAAAGTGTCACGAATTATGTACGTATCAATTGTGATGGCCTTAGAGCAATTCCGACGTCGGATTACGATTCAGTGGCTGCCAAAATACACGAGAATAATTTGTCGAGTTGATTTGATTTTAAATCTACTTATTACCTATACCTGTCTAGATCCACTGGGATCAAGTGAATTCTAGATTCAAATTCAGTGACCCTCGAAACCATATAAAGCTAGTCGTCTCTCTCAAACGACCGTTATCTTAAATTTGACCTTCATATGCCCTTGAACCTGATCCAATAGGACTAGTCGGTCCTTAAAGTTGCATGTAATGCAAGTTAATTCTTGTTAACTCGCTAAAGCAGATCTAAGTGCGATCCCGTGATCGTCATTGTAAATTAAATTTGAAAAATAATCTTAAAAAATTTGTAATTAATATTATTTATTGATTAACGGTTTTTCCCCACCCGGAATGCTACAAGCTGTATTGCAAGGTTGGCGGATAAAATGTCAATTATTCAAGTTCCGCCTAATTGGAGCTCACTTTTTCTTTATTTGTCACCCGTTTAGGACTGTCAACGACGAGACGCTCTTCATAGCTATACGAAAAATTAGACAAATTATTTCTGCTAATGCTTACTTCACACGATTCTACATTATATTGTGCACAATACTAGGCATCACATTTCTTTTATATTACGATTGTGTACATTTTTATATAATATTACGCATAATATATTAAAATATATAAGCTTGAATATTATATCTAATTTGGCAAAATAATACATATAAAATTATTTAATCGTTCGAACCACCGTAAACAACACGCGTGCACTTGGTTTTATGCATAAAATTTTGCCAATAATGATGCAAAGTTTTGTATAAAATTTAGTCAAATTCGACATAATTCCAAAATTTACATAGAATTTTAAGATTACGCATAATACGTATTATGTGAAAATGTATAAGTACAACGTCAGGAAAATTTTTTCTATGTGTACGTAAAGAAATGATAGTTTAGTAATGTTTGGCTGACATAATTATATAAGTATAACATCTATTCTATTGTAAAACTTCGAAAGAACGATAATAATGAACATTATTTATTGTCAATATCACATCATATCCTCGTGCAGTTCATTCAGACTATTATTTTTACGTTTGATACAATTCATTAAGCACGAAATAAATATATTTACATTAAATCTTATGAATCGTAACCATGTAACCGTCTCTCGAACGGATGGAAATATCTGTTTTCAAACGGAGAGTTTCCAGTTTCTGCATCGTTGTCAATCGAAATCTTCGAACTACGTGAGCCAGTATTGTTTTCAAAGCCATGATTGCGTATTTTTGGCCTATCACGATGAAGAGGAACATTAGCAGAGACAAAGCGTAAAAGAGAAATGAATGACTTACCAATGCAGCCACGAAGGCCACCACTGAACGGAATGTAGGCGTAGGGGTGCCTTGTATTCGAATTTTCCGGTAGAAATCTCTCGGGAATGAACTTCTCTGGATCCATCCAGAATTTCTCGCTTCTGTGAGTTGCGAATGGTACCATTACTATCGAGCAACCCTTCGGTAACGTGCATGTTTCTAACAATCAATGAACAATTTAGTACATTCACATTAGAAATGGGCACGCGTGAATTTTAAGCAGTCCATACCTAAATCGATGTCACCCGTCACTTGACGAACCATCATCGGTGCGATTGGGTAAAGCCGCAAGGTTTCTTTGATAACCATTTCCATGTATTTCAATTCAGGCAGATGCTCGATCCTGACATTCTCATCGCCAATGACTTTCTTAATCTCCTCTCGAAGTTTATCCTGGATCTCTTGGTTCATCGCTAGATTCAAGAGGGCGAAGGAACTTATAACCGCCGTTGTGTCTTGGGCCTACACAAGTCAAGTGAACGTTCAAGCTGACGAATTGAAAACATCGGATTGTTGACTCTTACCGCTGTGAACAGCGTGTAAATGTGATCTCTGATCTGGTCGTCGGTCAAGAAATCGTTTTTCAGCGCATAATCGATTATCTGCTCGAGTAGCATGAGTCTCGGTCTGTCTGACGCGATCGCTCCTCTTTCCAAAGCGTAATGTTCTTTTTTCTTACGAGCGACTGCCTACAGTGAAACACACTTTTCAATAAGAAATTGTGTCAGGGCTAAGTAAGCGAACTTACACTTTCGATGAAGCCGTGAATAACTTTCTGCCCTTCGTGTTGCCTCTTGGCCAAAGCCGTGCGGTAAAAAATCCAGTCGGGGTGCAGCCAAACTTTCATCATTCGCAGGTGGATCAACTCGTACATCCTGAAAGCAACACACAACAGCTATTGGCATTGGAAAATTTCGAATGGCTTTGACGCTGCAAACGCACTGTTCGGTCCAGTAAACTAATTCTTTGTGCCCTTCCTTCTGCGAGATGCCAGGTAATCCTAAGATAGTATCTGCAAAGTAGATTGCGTTATTTCCCATTTGAATACATTTCCCATTTGAATTTTCGTAACACCTACCGAAAATAATGTCGAAAGTGCAATGTATCAAAAACGGTTGAATGTCGAAGGCTTCGCATCCGACTTTTTCATTCAACAAATCGGTACAGATTCGACTCTGAGCATCGAAGTGTGCAACGTACTCGTTCAGCACTTTGTTGTTTAACATTGGCATTATAACTCTTCGATGGGTTCTGTGCATTGGACCTTAGATACCAAGTTGAATATGTTGATCTGTACGCGAATGAGCTTGGAAGTAATTTTTGTTCGGTTACCTGATCCGCTAACAAGACCTTGACCAACGAATGGCTCCATAAATCGGTAAACCGGATCTTTGTAACTCGCTTTCTGGCATCCAAGGATCACCTGGTATAGATCGATTCTATTTAATAGCGTGTTGAAGAAAGAAGAGACTTCGTGAAATATTTTACCTCGTAATCTTGTGGTTCCGTGAGAATTATAAATAATTTTGGACCCAACCAGAAACGCATTGGTGAATCATAATTATTCACGTTTTCCAGGATTTTATTCAAAGTTTCTGAAATAAGCGAAATAATTTAACGAAATGTATTAACTGTTTCGAGAAAACACTTCAATTTTTACGCACCCTCAGGTTTACAGGCAAACTGTAAAGCATTCCCGAGAATCGGGAGAGTCGGTGGTCCTGGCAATTTCGCAGCCAACTTGATCATTCTTGTTCTTTCTTTATAAAGTGCTTTGGCCTTCTTTAGTATCCAAACGGTAGTCAGGAAAAAGGATGTAATAATGAGAAAAGAAGCTGCAAATAAAAATAAGTAGTGCAATTTATGATTTATATACAAAATGCATCCTTCCACTTGTTTTCTTATTGTATCTCGTGTATAACTGTATGTATGTACGGTTGCACTTGGACATCGAACAACGAGGATCATTTACACGCTGATCACGATGTCATGGTGTGGCGTCGTTTCGCGACTATCTTTTTCGCGTTGCGTTTCTATTCGCTGGATTTTTTTGTTACGAAACGATCGATAGGATTTTTTTATTCTGATACTGCGCTTTTTATTGTATGATTTTTGGTCTTTAATTCATATATTGGCGAATTGAGTTTATTACAATATATTAAAATTGAAATTTACACAACTAACTAATTTCTGTTTATTTTTTAACGAACGAATTAAAGAACTAATAAAATAATTAAGATTATTTATCGGGATATTCTTTATTAATTTCCTTCGTTTACCGACTTCATCGAACTCTTCATCAATTTGATTCTTTCGAGTTATGCAATGTGAAACATAAAACTATGTTAAAGCGTTAAAAGAATAAATGAAATTTGCTATAATTGAATAATTATCCTTGTGTGTACAGATATAGACACACTCATGGTATAAATTAATGAAGCTATTATAGTCGAACGATGAGCCTGAATATCTTCGAGCGATGAAAAGAAAAATAATACTGTTCACTTTCGATTTCCAAATGCCGAGAAAAGGAAACAACTCACTCGTGTCAAAGTAAGAATAAGAACTATCCCTCGTCGGATAAATCGTCTGTCTCCACATCTTTTTGGATGATTCACTCATGATTGTTGTACGCGCGCGCACACGCAAGTCGACTTGTTCGCGAAAACTAAAGCCGGCCGCGCGTGCGACTCGACGTTTATAGGGAGCCACGCGTTGCCGTCACATCGTCGGATAGGCAGGTGAATGTTTAACGCGAGGTTCACGGTTACACACGTATTGAATGAGCTATCGTAGTTTATTTTTTTTTTTTTTGCCGAGAAGTTGAAAAAGATGGTGTTGACAGAGTTCAAGTCACTGTCGGCTTGTGAAATTGACAATAGTGCAAGGCGATTATCCAATGCTAGTGGAATCAGTGAGCCTGAAGATTACTCGCAAGATATACAATTTTTACACCTCACAGGACATTTGGCCGGTTGTTTCTCCCTTATCTTCAAATTTTTATATACTTTGTCCATTCTGTTATTTACGTTTACTATTATACAAAATGGAAACGATGAAAATCAACTAACTGAATGTGCCATAAATAAGCAAGTAAATGCATCACTTCTACAACGGCAACTTGTGCCAAATCAATTCTAGTTCGTCGGAAACTGAGACATAAGATGTAACGTGATGTTTCCGGTCACGATTAAACTTCGTTTGAATAATGTATCTTTTTAGGCAAGTCGGTTCCTCTTCGCTCGTAATTTCAAATCCACAGCATATTCCTGCATTTGAAGCACGTACAATTGAACCTATATCTTGAACTTTAATTTATGATATTTTCAGAAACTTTGCTGAATTATGATTTTGTCGGATATTTACATTAATTTTTGCTCTTCAATTTTTTTCGCGTACGTATTATAATAGAACGCATGTTGGATTCATAAATAAAGTTTATTCGCAATTTTATTCTTTTTTTTATTTTGCGGAAAAGTTATGTCCGCACATTTGTTTCCATGGAGTTGGTAAATGATACACCATGTAAACTGAAAATAATAGAAGAGCGAATTTTAAGGAACAAACGACTTTTAAAAAATGCAGCACAATTTTTGTGGTTAGCTGAAATCACATATTACTTTTAATAAAAAAAAATAACTATTTTAACATTTTTTACTATAATTTTCAATTATTTATCAATCACAACTGATCATATGTTTTCTTTAAATTACAAATAAATTTTAATCTTTGCCAATAGACGTTGCGAGATTCAGATATTTACCCCGTTGAACCATTGAAATAAAATATCCTCACGTAACAATTAATCAGATGGCCAAGCCTGTTCTCCGCTTGAGTGCGTCACCTGTTTGGCGAATCGTAAGGATATTAACGGAGGAATATTCCCCTAAGCAAAGTCCAATAGAAACTGCACGCGATGTTTAAATATAGATTGACACGCTGGCACTAATTCGTTGAATGGGCCGATATGCATTATGTGTAGTAGTAGGTGCGCGTGTACCGAGTCACTCGCGATGCGCTATACATACATTGATCAAGGGAGGAGCCTTAGCTCTTTTTCATTTTGGTTACAATCGTGTTATACTAATTTTCGTTTTATCGGTTCATTTTTGTATGAAGATTACTGGCGTTTTATCAATTTTAGATGTGATTGTCATATAAATTTTCAAGATAATGCAAAATCATATTTCAAGAAAAATTATTACCGATGTGTTGCTGGCCGGTCGATAGAATTTCATTTCCTAAATCAAAGTCACTTTTTAATTATTTTACACAAGTTAGTCTTAGTGTATGACTTGCTCAATGTAACGAGTTTGAATGAAGTACAGTAAAATAAGCAAATGATATTGTCTCCATTTTGTGTAGTTGTTTTGTTCTTTCTATATGTATATCTATTCGTAAGGGCACGGTAGAAATAAAATAATAATATTTTGCATTGTTCTACTGTCGCTGGAACATGGAAAATTCACGAGTCTTTGCAAGTCATACTTCCCAAAGAACTGCAAGCTAACTGAAAGCTTTAAGCCAGCAATTATCCAAATATAAAAAAGTTGTATAGTTCCATTCGGAGGCCAGCAAACCTTATTTGTCCATCCATTGTACATTGCGCATCCTATCTCTATAAAGGTATTATCAATTGTCCGTAAGCTGCGCATATACTGGACACAAGACGCGCGCAGAGATTGACCTTCTTAACTACTTTACTTTGTTAAAACTGTGATTACATGCAAATTCGCGTCTGCCTTAGTCGTCGACAATAGGAAGCGTCGTAGCGTGTCTTAAAAAATTTTTCCGCGCGAAAAATTCTATACGCTCGGGTTTTTTCCCCAGTAGTCCCCCATGTCGCACATTATTAAATCCCCCTCCTCCTTTTCGTAGATGTGCTCTCTCTCTCTCTCTCTCTCTCTCTCTCTCTCTCTCTCTCTCTCTCTCTCGATCGGCTCTCATTTTCATCTCGCGTGTATGATGCCGCGCTCTATGTTCCCCCTCGCGCGCTCTCTTTTTCTCGAGCGAGAGCGCGAGGCAAATGACGAGTGCTTTATCTCTTCGATAAACTCTTCTCTCGCGCAACAGCGCCAGGGTGAAACGCCTCGTGTAACAGTAAGCTTGCCAAATTTCTTTGCCCTTATACTTTCTCATCTGCAAGTGTGCTCAGCTGCTTCCATGTGACAGTGCTTCGGGTGTTATAATATCAGTCGTCTAAACAAGTAAGTTGATTCTCGATTTTTTAGCGGCCCAGCTTCTGAAATCGAAAAATCATGAGATTGCTTTTCAATTCAATCATATTACGCAAGAAAAGATTGTTTACAATGCAACAGTGAATTGTGTTTTTTCATTTGAAATGCCACGATTTGCTTATTGTATTTGTATGTTTTTTTTTTTGAAACTGCATTGAATGCTTTGGCATACGAATTTCAATTGTTGTCATAAACATGCATTTTCTACTAACATACAATGAATTTAAAAGCATCAGCTACAAGCCAACGCTGTATATTCGTCTAAATAAATATTAAGTGTTACTTCCTTCATTGTTTCGACTTCCTTCCATTATCTAATCACAATTTTAAAAAGAAAATACGATGGAAAAGGGAAGCAATAAATGTGACGATGCTTTTATGCTATTATCCCAACTGATGTGTAAATTATTCACTGAAATTGTAAGAAAAAACAATATAAATTCATCCCAATAAGCTTTTATCGCCTATTGTACAAGACCGCAATGTATTATAGAAAACACGCACTGAAAGTTACCCATGAGAATCGAGTAAATGGCGAAAGTGCAATATCAACAGCACATCGAAAATCTTCTCTCGTTCTTGTCGCGCATCTACTTAAAAGTGTCGTGCGCGTCCTTTACTACACTCGTAAAAAAAAAGGAGAATTATAGCTGGTGCGAAATTCACATTACATCCTTGATCGCTTGAAAAATGATCGGTTTTAATATTCCGTACGTAGCGTGTTTGAGAGTTCGTCGTGAGTTTTGTTCCGAGATAGCGTTGACGAATTTTCAAAATTTTCATGACAACGTCAGATCTAATTGAAATTCATGTTCATGACAAATGGAAATGGATATGAGAACCGCAAGTGTCTTTTCACTCGTTCAATTATACCCATTTGTTGCCTCTTTTATATGAAAACAGATAGGCCATTCATGAAAAAGACAACCGAATTTGTTGTCGAAGGATTTTATGGGTAAAAGCTTTCACAAGAGGGGAAAAGGGTGTGTGCGTGCGTGCGTGTGTGTGTGAGCAAGTATTAAATATAGGACAAGGTTGTTTCGTTGGGAACAGGCAAGCGTATGCTTCCTCGGAAGTCACTCGTTGCACGTCATCCATCATCATCATCATCATCATCACCACTCGCTTGCGCTATACAGCGAGTTTAGTTCCTCGTTCGCCGCCGTATTCACGTGCGATCAGCTGCATCGAAATACTCTTGTTTAGAAATAATCAATGCATTGTCTTCTTTTCGATGCGTTGTGTGTGTGTGTGTGTGTGTGTGTGTGTGTATTTTGAAAAAAATCATTTTAAATTGCATTAGCGAAGACCACGACATTTGTTTCATTACATATCTGCTAAAAGAATGCGCGTAAAAACTCAAAAAATTGTTCTTTCAAACGCCAAATGAAAGAAATATGCCAAGGGCAAAAGTCATAATAAATAATCGCAGATACACATCCCCCCCCCCCCCCCCCCCCCAGAATGACATACCAAACTAAAGCTTAATATCCGGCGATTTGTAGAACAGGCGATCGTCAATCGATAATAATCCAATTGATTGGTGCGTGTGTGTCCCCTTTTAGATATATATCCAGCAGCATCTATCGCACAGCGAATTAATGAGGATGAGGTGAATTTACTTTGGTAGCGAGTGAGCGAGAGAGGAAATAAAAAGAATGCCGTCGATCGAGACGATACAACAGCAGCATCGGGTTGACCGGTCGACGAGCCCGTTGCCAACGCAAAAGTCGCCTGTTGCTCAAGAACTCAAAGCTTTGTTCGCTGGCCCTTTGGATAAACGTCAACAACAACCGAATAGCGTGGATGCCCTGGAAATGGTACCTGTTACGGACAACGGCAAGGCGTTGAAAAGTCACGACTTGCCGGAACGAGGGTCTTGGAGTAGCAAGGTCAGAAGAAAATAATCTTTCATTACAAACTTCAACTTCATTAGTTTTCTAAGTGAAATGGGCAAATCTCAAATAAAGTAATACTCTATCAGTAAATTTTTAATTACTTGATGAAAATGGACTAACTATCGAAATGTACGGGGAACGAAATAATTCCCTTTCAGTTAACAAATTAGACTAATTAATCTTCGAAATGAGCACATTTCTAACGATGAACCAAACATAAAAAAGACTCATTTAATTTATTTATCAATTCGTTACGCCAATTTTTACTAATTGTCGATTGATAGTTCAACTTACGTTGCAATGAGTTTAATAACACAAATATTTGAAGCTTTCAAAAACAAATGTTCCTTATGGAAAAAATGTAGTGTTCGCGCATAAATGAGCCAGTGCGAACCACGCGAGCCGACCAAAATTCTACAATATTTGTTACATGACGTGTGATCAAGCTCAACTATGTACATTTATTTTCAGATCGAATTCATCCTGTCGGTGGTTGGTCTAGCGATAGGCTTAGGTAATCTGTGGCGATTTCCCTACTTGTGCTACAAGAATGGCGGCGGAGCATTCATGGTTCCGTACTTCATAACGCTGGCATTGGCTGGGGTGCCTATGTTCTTAATGGAATTGGCCTTAGGACAGATGATGACCATCGGAGGCCTTGGTGTATTCAAAATTGCTCCCATATTTAAAGGTGACACAATAATCCCGCGTATAAAGTTCACGATCTCTACCTTCATCTTTTCTCGTTGTCATGGTCCAATTAAAAATCAATGCATGTCTGTCACATGGTGCGTGAATTTGTATACATTCAAATCCAAAGGTTTTTTTCGACAACTTAATTTGATATGTTAAATAAAAAAAATTAATCCAGAAGAATGGCAGTTTTCCGCATTTAAAAAAAATCTATTTTTATTAGTGAAAGCCGCCGCAGCGCATTAACGTATAGTTGTATAGCAAAGAAATCCGCGATTTTCGTGGCATCGCTATAGCAAAACGATCGACTTCCTCGTTGATTTCAGGTATTGGCTATGCGTCGTGTGTATTGTCATGCTGGACGAACATCTACTACATTATCATTCTAGCCTGGGCCCTCTTCTATTTTCTGGTATCACTGCGCTCAGGTAAACTTCCTTTTCTCTTTGGTTTCGCAACGAACAGCAGAAGAACGCACGACGCGAGAGAGCGAGAGGCAGACCTCGACGCGCGACGCATACGGAATGGCAACGAGATACGTGCTGCACGTCGCTCAAATTGAGGAGGAATCTTTACAAAAGCGACACCCGCGAGCGTTGAATTCTTTCGTTCGCGCGTACGCGTAATATGGCGATGAGTCGTTTATCGAGCGCTTGCGCTCTTCGACGATCGAGCACGAGCTGTTCCGCGCTCGGCTCGGATGTTTTTCACTCGGGATATCGAAATGAAAAATGCCATGCCACGAGGAACATTGGATTTGGCCGAAAAATATTGCTCCGTGAAAGTTGGAAGTAGACGTCGTTTGCGAGGCATACGCACGATAGCCATCGCGTGCAGCTCATCCAGATTTGCGTTTGCACAAACAGACGTGCCCTGGCGAACGTGCGACAATTTCTGGAACTCAAAGTACTGCATAACTCCATCGGAACGATTGCGCACGCCGTGTTATCAGGTCGGCGGCGACGCGTACTGCTCGACGTCGCTTGGCAATTTGAGCCAGACGCTCCTGAAGGATCCCGTCAAAGAGTTTTGGGAGTGAGTGCCCTTGAGATTTGTCGTAAATGTTTGCACGGCGACGACTGACCGAAACTGCTTGGTGCTGCGCAGGAGGCGAACTTTGCAAATCTCCGACGGCATCGAGGACCTCGGTGGTATACGATGGGAGCTCGTGGGCACCTTGGCGATCATGTGGATAATATGTTACTTCTGCATCTGGAAAGGCGTCAAGTGGACTGGCAAAGTAATAGCGGAGGGAAAGCCGAGGATAACTGGCTCGTTCCCGTGCTGAATGAAACGTGCTTTCAGGTGGTCTACTTCACAGCGCTGTTTCCCTACTGCTTGTTAGCCGTGTTGCTAGTGCGAGGGCTCACGCTTCCGGGCGCCGTGGAGGGTCTCAAGTACTACGCGACGCCTAATCTCTCGAAATTGGGCGAACCCGAGGCAAGTGGCGTTGTTATTATTTGATCAGCCGTACATGGCGGCGCGAGGCGCGTCACCTTTTTTGACCTTGCCTCTCGTGCGAACGAGGCGTCCTTAATTCTCACGCGATTTTCACCGAGCTGCCGACGTTTCACGCGGATCCTCGATTGATTTCTCACGTAACGAACCCGCAGGTATGGATCGACGCGGTCACGCAAATCTTTTTCTCGTACGCGTTGGGCGTCGGCGCGCTAATCGCCTTGGGCAGCTACAACAAATTCAACAACAACGTCTACAAGTAAGACAGCTTTCTCCCAATTACAAGCGACCAAGCGTCCGGACTGTCTCACTGTACCTCTCGATGGTCTCCTTGTCAGGGACGCGCTGATCGTGTGCACGGTCAACTCGTGCACGAGCATGTTGAGCGGAGTGGTCATCTTCTCGGTCGTCGGCTTCATGGCGCACGAGCAGCAGAAGCCAGTTGCCGAGGTGGCCGCCTCCGGTAAGCGCATCCAACGCACAGCCGCGGGAGAGCTTTTTTTGATCGAGCGCGAAAACGATCTGCCGTCGTAGGTCCGGGGCTTGCGTTTCTCGTCTACCCGTCGGCCGTGCTGCAACTACCTGGAGCTCCAGTCTGGTCGTGCTTGTTCTTCTTCATGCTGCTGCTGATAGGCCTCGACAGCCAAGTAAGCTCCTCTTGCGTTCCCATTGCACATCCGTTTGTAAGTAACTTTGGCTCCGAGCTTGATGCGCGTCGATTCGGAGGACAAGCTTTCTTTTCATAATTTTTGTTCCGCGCTGCCAATCGAGTCGTGAAAATCATGAAAAATATGCCGTTTGCAGTTCTGCACCGTAGAAGGCTTCATCACGGCAGCAGTAGACGAATGGCCTCGCCTGTTGCGAAAAAGAAAAGAGCTCTTCATCGCAGTCGTGTGCTTCGTTTCGTTTGTCATCGGCCTGTCCTGCGTCACCGAGGTGACTTGTATGAAGCGCGTTTGTCGCAACTTTATTATTTATTCGCCAAATTATACATTCTTCAGGGTGGCATGTACGTGTTCCAATTGCTCGACTCCTACTCGGTCAGCGGTTTCGTCATGCTGTTCCTCATCTTCTTCGAGTGCATCTCGGTGGCATGGGCCTTCGGAGTCAATCGCTTCTACGACGGTATACGAGAAATGATCGGCTATTACCCGTGTTTTTGGTGGAAGATGTGCTGGACGATCACCACGCCGGCTATTTGTATTGTACGTAAGCACTTGCTGCTCGAAAAATATTACGGCTTGCGTGAGATGTTATTTTTATGGGATTGTCGTGGTTGTAGAGAAACGAATCTCCGCGAAATTGAAATTGATCCAAACATGAATACCTTGTCAAGTCTAATCGAGAATATTCGATGGTGAAAAATCGCGATGATATTGTAAAATTTTTAGTGCAGATAATATTTTATTATACAAAATATACCACTTCATTCTTAGTTTTATGAATCTCGCAGATCTGGTAAATCGTGTCATTTTCCAGGGCGTATTTACGTTCAATGTCATCAAGTTTGTGCCAGTTAAATATCTCGACTATGAGTATCCATGGTGGAGTCACGTAGTTGGTTGGCTCACAGGACTTTCCTCTATGATGTGTATACCGGGCTACATGATTTATCTTTGGTGTGTCACACCCGGAACTGCATCAGAGGTATTGTTGTCTCTGTACGATACATAAATATTTAATCGATAATTATGAAATGATTTTCAGAAATTTCGAAAATTGGTGAGAATCGAAGATGACGTTGCTACACTTCGAGCGAAACTAAATCCGGTTAAAGCTGCGGAAATCAAGTTAGAGTTCAATGTTTAAAGACAATTACTGAACATTCGTATCATGATGATTGCTACTGCCAAATAACAAAGAAATCGAAATACCAAAGAACGTTCCAACGAGTTCCAAAAGTTCATTTGACAATAATATGTCGAATTTGATTCGTCAATTTACAAAAGTGATTATTTTTATAATCTTCCTAAAATAATATCTCGTTCAATGTAAGTTTAAGCTCCGATATATAGTTAAAATAACAACAGTTTTTCAATGATTAAATGTAAATAAAAACTGGTATTTTTGCTATCAGTTGACATAGACAAATACATAAATTACTACATGGTTTTTTAATCTATTACGCTATTATATAGTTACATACAGTACAAGTACACACATCAAACTATTTTGTAATGTATATTATGGTGTAGAAAATTATGTGCCTTTAGCATGCAGTTTTTATTTAACAAGAAAAGCACAAGACACAACGCGATAGTGGAAAAGAATAGAGTATGTGAAATGAAACATCTCGTTAAAATAAATAATACTCACATCAATTTATTTTTTTTAATCAATCTATAATATTTTTAAGAATTATGTAATGAAAATTGATATAACTTTGCGTTATTTTTACCTGATATTGATATGATTACAAAACATAATACATTTTTTGAAGAACTGTTATTTATAAATTATTTTTTGACGCTCATGGGCTAAATTTGTTGGGAAAAATTAAATAAAATTACTTTTGTATTTCAATTTATAGAATATCAAAATTTATTGCAACACATCAATGCAAGTTTGAACCACTCTATAAATGCAAATTCAAAGTTGTATCTACATCCATAAGCAATAATATTCTCAACAATCTTGATCCTCTGCCAAAAATGTTAAATAAGTACAAATTTTGAGATTCTCTTACATTAGTAAGTTTTATGTATTAGCATATATCATCATAATTTCATACTTATTAGACTTTTTCAAATTTTCTTTCCATCTTTAATCAAAATAATCTCTTTCATTGTTATCTTAACAAAAATTGACTATTTACATATTTATAAGTGAAAAAATATTTGTTCCTAAAATACATCTACTCATTTTAATTTTTATCCTTTTGTATCTCTTTTATACGATGAATAAGCTGCTCTTTCCATTGATCTTCTGATATAGAGTTTGCCCATTCTGGTATTGCTGTGCTAGGTAATGTAAATGATGCCATCGCTGACTTTACTTCATTAATTTTATCTGAAGTTAACTCTATATTTGAAGGATTGCATGGTGATGACCAAACTTCTAGAGTTTCTGGAGGAACAGATGAATCTGCTACATGATTTGATTCTAATTCTGTTTGTTGATCTTCTGTAGGTGCTGAATTCCATTCAAATTCCTAAAAAAAATTATGCAGTATCAGCGAGCATTTAATTCAATAGATAATTAATAATACATACTTCTTCATCGTCATCATCATCTTCTAGAGGTTCTCCTTCAATTGGAACTTGAGAAAGTGGCATATATCCTGACATACCAACATCTTCATCTTCACTATCAGATTCTTGTGTAGTAATCACATTAACATTTAAATTTGAAGTGTCTAACTTATCTACAGGTTCTTGCGTTGGTTCTGGTGCCATTGCTTTTTTTTTCAATTTTTGTCTTTCCGAATCAATATTTATAATCGATAGAAGTGATTAATTTATTTGTTTGTCTAAATATAAATTTATGATGCTAAAATTCACTTTAACTTTAATTTTATATATTTGTTTTGTCAAACGTAACCTTTCATTTACACAACACAAAATAACCGCTCGGTTCTACGTAATTGCACTTTAATTTCTATGACAATTAAGATTTTGATTTATAAAAGTTAACTAGACATTCAAATTAAATTTTCAATTCTCGTAAATAAATAGCAAATGATTATTAAGGGGGAGTAGATGATTTACGACGTATTCTGTACATAAACAGAAACAGATAACTTCCTTGATACCTCCACCCAATTTTTTTATTACTTATGATAGAAAGGCGTACATCAATTAAATAATCGATCAATTGAAAATCTTAAACAATTGCTCTCAAGATGCTCTCTTCAAAAAAAAGTTGCTGCCTTTGTAGGAAATATTTACAAGAAGTTATTAACAAATTAAAATTTTATTGCTAATTTTCTTAATAATTATGCAATATCTTTTGGATAAAGTGGATTCATTTTATATAAATAATAGTAACCAATTTTGCTCTCACACTTGTATTTCCATTAAACAATTGGTATTATCAGGGAATTAAAAACAAATATGACCTTCTAACCTATACCGGCGTAAGGTATAGGAAATCGCGTTTTAGGACTCGTTCCATAGCAGGTCTGAAAAGCTAGCATCCAGATTTAGCTTTTTTGAGATAATCGAAAAAATAATTATAATATTAGATAGTTCATTGAAAAATCAACGATCTTTTCCGTTACCATTTATTAGTTCGACCTCGAAAAACCCTTTAAAAATATGAAATTAGTTTTGAATGCTGGACTCCAGCACCTAGGTACAATATGTGGTAAAATCTAGAAAAATTAATTAAAAAATAATTTATACATTGATTGTTAATAAATTAACCACATCCAATGTAAAGTTGTTGATAAATTAATTATTTAAATAAATAAAAAGAAAAAATTATTCCGGCCTGAATGCTGGGTGTTGGATTGATAGCTCAGGAACAACCGCCAAAGCGGCGCGTATGCTTCCCGCAATATCCCAGGGACCATGTTGTGATGATAGTCGTGAGAACTTGGATGTTGCGCAGTATATTATGCGTCGATCGTGTCCATCACAAAACTAATTAACATTGATTAGTTACTACATTGACAATATTGACATTCTTCTTGTGATCGACAGATCTGCGCACAATATACTGTGCAGCATCCAAGTGCGCATGACCAACACCATAACAAGGCCCAGTGACTCTTACTAATTTCTCCAGATAGTCCAAATGATTGCATCATCCTTATGTTAACGACCTTAATAACAATATATTAATTAGATAGTCTGCTTAATTAATCGATACTTAAAACTAGCAGATTAAATTTAAATGTAATTAGACTGTTAAACAGAGCTTTATTATTAGTTTTCAATGCTTTTAATTTCATCTCATTAATTTCATCTGGAATAAATAATGATAGCCACATTGGGGTGCTATCGATATAAATGTATCCTATTTTTTTAATGAATTTTTCTAGATTATGATTCGAGGACGAACTAACAAATGATAGAGGAACAAATTGTTGAATTTGTGATAAACTATCTAATAGTATAATTAGTTTATCCACTATTTCAAAAAAAAGTTAAATCTAGGTGCTAGCTTTTAAGACGTTCCATAGCTGTACTGTACACCATATGAACAGGACTGCCAAGTTGCTTCTCCCCTCCCCCCACCACTATTTTTAAGGAAAATCAATAGCCAAAAGGGAAAACGGCATTATAATCGCCCTATTTGTCCCTGGTATCAGTGCTAATTTCCCTTTTTTGATTACCTGGGTTGGGAAATACGTGAAAATTCCTGTTTCCCAATCACCTGGTGAAAGGCTAGTATCTCGGTGCTTTATTGTAAAATTTCGCGGGATAGGTATTAAAATGAAAACTATTATTTCTCTCGTCATATCCCCATTCGCTATTTCAATAAATGACATGGATTATAAATAAAATTAACTCATTAACGCTGACAGGACACTTTTTTAAGAGCTTTGTTTGAATAGTTGCTATGCAATAATTTCGAACAAATAAACTAAGAACACTGCTTTTTACGTTTTCGGGAGTGCTCTTTTCAGTGGTTAAAAATTTTGCAAAAAAAGTTTTACCATCGAAAAGTTCAAAATAAAAAAAAAACTAATATTTTCGGTTGAATTTTTTTTTAAATGGACTGTTTGTTCTCTTAACCTTTTTTGATGTCCTAAACCTCTCTAGATCTCAGTCTCGATATCTGAACTAAAAATAAGTAAGGTTTTCCGAACATACAAATTTTTTCATTAAACAAAATGGCAGCTTGAATGAAATGTTTTATCTGGAAAACTATGGACTCTTATCAAAATTCTTTAAGAACAAAATATCTTAGAATCAGTCAAAAAATATTATAGAATTTTTTTAGAATCGTTAAAAGAAATTTTTGAATTTTCGAAAAGTTACAAGATTGCAAATTTAAAAATCGTATTGGAAAGATCTGAAAAATTTGAAAATATTCTTTATTTGATTTTAAGATATTTTCATTCTCAGGAAATTTTAAGTAAAAAATGTAGTTTTCGAGAAAAAATTCTAATGGGGTTTGGAACATGAAACATTCCCGCTGCCATTTTGTTTATAAAAAAATTTTCATTTTTGGAAAACTTTACTTATTTTTAGTTTAGATATCGAGGCCGCGATCTATAGAGGTTTAGGATATATCAAAAAAGGTGAAGGGAACAAAGAATCCATTTAAAAAAAAATTCAACCGAAAAATCTAGCTGCTTTTTTTTTGACTTTTCGATGGTAATACTTTATTTGCGAGACTTTTAACCAACACCACTGAAAAGAGCATTCTTGAAAACGTAGAGAATAGTGGTTCCTAAATTGTTTTTATCCAAATTCATTGCATGGCAACTATTCAAACGTAGCTCTCGAAAAAGCGTCCTGTCGGTGTGAATGGGTTAATAGCAATTTTCGACATCTCAATCGAATAGCAGAAAAACGAGCTCAATCTATATTTTGCTATATTTTACTATATAATCTATATTCTGCTATATTCTACCAGCTTAATCTATATTTGTCTATTTCTGACAAAATTTCTTGTCAATGGCGCGCAGTCGTTTTCTTTTAAATAAAAACAACGTCATTTCCTCAGCTTTACATCGCAAAGCAAGAACAAAGTGAGTTGCATGAAATATTATTCATACGATAATTGTTAAATGCATGTGAAACCATCATTTTTACGGTACGTTAGTATATATGATGAATATCGGAGTTACAGACAAGTAGTATTGGACTAATTGATAATTGAATTTATTAAATTGTTAATTGATTTGAAAGATTAGTGTAGCTCACATATCTATACTGCTGAACATACAGTATATATATACGCGATTTCAACGTGACTCCATTAAATAGGTTAGAAGGTCATATTTATTTTAATTTTCTGCCAATACCGATTGTTTAATTTAATTGAGTTATTGTAAAATTAACAATAAAGTTTTAATTTGTCAATAATTTTTTGTAAACAATTCGTCTGAATAAATCGTCGTACGTCTTTTTATCATAATTAATAGAAAAACTCGATGGAACTATTAGGGAAGTGAACAAATGATTGACGGGACAATTTAGTTTTTGAAAGTTTGTTGCACTGTCAGAGTGTAATAGATAGATATGCTGTCGTGTTTTTGAATATGACATTCCAAGCCTGGCAGTAAACATTCATTTCAATACAGTACCGATTAGACAATACTTATTATTGGAAATTAATACGCAAGTTTTTATTTTTAATCGTCAAGTTACTATAGTATGGTTGTTATTTGAAATAAACTGAACAAAATACATTGCAGATCCTCTTTTACAATTCATCTAAAAGATGAAAAAACTGCTATGTATGACAACGACGATTTTGTAAGCTTGAACCGAAAAAGAATGATTATTGATGAATATTTGTTAATTTTTTAAAACATTAAAGATAATTACCGCTCCATAATTTTCCAAATTCATAGTATAAAATCCCCCACACGTTAATTGAAGAGGCTCAATGCTGCGCAGCATCATAAACTTCAGAAGTTTCTGACATTTGATGGAACAGTCGTACCATTCCGTATCGAATCTACAAATTCAACTCCGATGATTTTTTATTTATATTGTATTTGTGCAGATTTTTTTTGTAATGCCACATACGCGTCATGAAAGATACCACCACTGCTGTCTATTAGTTTTTGTCCTGGCCAACTCAAGTAGAACATGTGGATCATTAAACCAATGTAAATTAAAATGTATCTCATCAGCTCCATTGGGCGATCCATATATATCAATATCTTGAAAAGAACAGATGTTGATTAAATTCAAAAACTTGGTGATTATTTTCGCTAGCTTATAGGTTTACTGACCACAACTGAACCGGCACTGAGTATGCCCACATTGAATGCCATCACCACTAGAAAAGCTGCAGAATAAGACGATTCGAGAACTCGCGCAAAACTGAAATTAGACAAATGATTAATTTTATTCGTTTGCGTGCTAACATTTACTGCACACAAGTACATAAATGTTTATGATTTACTCAACTGCAAAACGTGTCTATGTAAATTAGCAGCTTTAGTCAATGCTTCGTATGTCATATCTTTTCTTTCACGGTCAACGGGCTCGCTTTTATGTGCGCGCTCTGTTGCTAATTTTAAACGCAACCTAAAAAGCTTCTAGTCATGGATGTTTTCATTTGATTCGTTTAGACATAAACTCAAGAATTCACTCACTTGACTATCGCTAGCAATCCTATGCACTGTTCAACAGTGACTGCGTAAGTCGAGTCAATAGTGCAGAAAATGAAAACAGTCAACATGCAAGTGAAACCTTCAAATATATAAATAGCTCTGTAGTATTCTAATTTGTCAACTAAAAAGTCTCCATCCAGTATAAAAATTTTCGGTCGCGATCCGTTTGCTAGAGGCAAAATTATGTCTAACACTGGCGAGAATGCTGGCAAAGTGATAAAAACAATCAAAGCAGAAAACATGTAAGCTGAAAAATAATGCCAATGAGTTTTAAATTTCAAATTTAGAAAAAAATACTGTCCATAAAAGGCGATACACACAAACGTAACCAACAGTTAGTAACCGTCCAGTTTCGGAAAATCTCAACAGAATATTTCGCTCAGTTTTATTCTCTAACATTTTCCAGTTTTCGACAATGTTGACATAAAGAAATTTTATCTGCAAAAAGTGCGAATGGAGATAAATTTGATCCGAATCTACTTGATTCATACGGACTCACCTTTTCTTCTGTGATGATGTATAAAAAATATTTCAAAGATGTTCCAAAGAGATAAAATAACGTTGCAATAGCTTGAATTACCCGGTCAGGATCATTTCTCGCTGCAAACACGCAAATGAACTGCAATTGTAAGAGCACTAATATTACTTTTTTATCATACGTGTACAGTATCAGTGGTTGCAGCGATTCGAATGAAAAACGAAAAATGGGTACACGCAAACCAGATGCTTACTTGCGGAATCACATAAATGACGATAAACACACTAAACACGACTCGAATAGTGATCTTTGTCGAGGCATGCTGATAGGGCCAGAGTCCCATAAATCTCAATAAATTCTTGTTGATAATGAAATACCGGCTGTCGAAGAAATCCATCTCCATCGCGGCACATCCATTCGTGGCTCCACACAAATACTCCGTACTTCGAGATATGATTTTCTCCTGCGGCGCGTTATTCACGTTTGTCAAAGTCATCGCTCGGCCTTTGTTCTCTCAGGTATAAGACATTTCCGAGAGGCAGAGCTTGGAAGAAAATAACTGTGCGAAATTACGCTGCGACGGCGATTTGCATACGGAAAAAGTCACAAACGCGCGCGTTTCGCACCTAAGCTAATATCTCGAGGGTGAATATCGCGCGAAAGTAATTTCCCTTGACGATGATAGTTTTGCGCGTAAGCTATTACCATAGCTGCCGAACGTGCATAAATTTTGGATTAGTTAATGTCTGTATCGAGTCGACATGCAGCTGGACAAAGAAAAATCTATATTTGCGTGAAGCCTCGGGCTTTACGCGGACGTGAACGATCGTCATAAAAATCCTTTGATTTTGAATCAAGTCCATTGTGTTCTGTCGGCTATGTAAATCTAGTGGAAAAAAAATACTTTAAAATCTCACACGGAGTGCATTTCTCGAATATATGTAGCGGCCGGTGCTCAAAAAGGTATGTTGAAAGCTCAATGTGCAATTATACATCTGAGTTTCAACAAATGAGAACTTGAGTGAATAAATGATTGCAAAGAATGAAGAAACTTATTGAAATGTATTTTAATAATAGTGGCCGAAATCTGACTAAATTTGATAGAACGTACCTCTGCATCTTTCTTCCGGGATTTTCCGTAAAATGGGAAAAATCATACTTTGACATAGCAACATTTTCAATCTCACAATTAGATATTTGTGCAGTAATCATATACGGTATAAAGATTTAAACGTGTCATTTCAATGAAAGTGTTTTTAAATGAGTCATTTATAACCATAATATATTTCAAACAGAAAATAAAAATTCTATGACCGTAATATTTTGTTGCCAATAGTTTGATGAATTTAAATAACTATAACATAAACAACATTTATATCATAACAAAATCAAAGGAAAAGTATATTGGACTTAATTACGTAAACTCTGTGATACAAGGGTTTTTTAAGTCTCTAATTTTGAAGGTCAATTAATTCATTTAGATCTTTTAAGAAGTTGAAATTAGGGATACGGGATAAATTTTGTAAGAAGAAAATTTTTTCGTACTAGATTCTTTTCATGTAATTTAATATGATTAAATATGAATTAATAGGTTTAACATGATAGTCAAGTAGCAGAAAAAATAAATTTTTTGAAAATACTATTAAAAATACTTTCAACGCTACTATTTCATTGTGTCGTTGAAATGAAAAATAAAACTGACAAAAATAGCAAATAAAAGGCTATTATAGAAAAACAAGAATTCTTTCTTAAACCGTATTCACAATTTCAACTAACAAGCTTCTTTAAAGATTTTTAAAAATAGTATATATTTTTAAAGCTTTCTTAAAATGAAACTTTTTACAACGCTTTTTCAAAATGGCGGATTCCTCCTCTGCTTCACAAATTTACAACTGAATTACGATTTAAGCAATAGTTTAAATTTAACTACTAGTTGTTAGTAGCCTTTTCCAATTTCTCTAAATAAAAAGCAAATGAGCTGCAGTAAACAATAATATAATTTTAATCGCTTAATTGTACCCTCAGTAACATTTTTTATTTATCTAATTATTTGCGATAAACGTTATTTTTAACAATTAACTTATCACAGTATGATTCCTTCTTCTCAAAACAATATTGTAGATCCTCATTTACAATTTATCTAAATGATGAAAATACTGCCATATATGATAGCGATGTTTTTGTGAGCTTTAACGAAGAACAAAAAATTGTAGTTGACGAGTATTTTTTTAAAGTGTTGATGAATAATAAAATGTCATTACTGATCCGTAATTTTCCAAGTTCATCGTGTAAAATCCTCCACCTGTTAATTCGAGAGGTCGAATGCTCCGCAGCATCATAAATTTAAGAAGCATCTGACATTTGATAGAGCAGTCGTACCACTCAGTATAGAATCTAAAAATTAATCTTCGTCATATTGATTTTAACAGTGTGAATGTTTTGCTTTCTCCCTGTTACGTACGCATCATGGAAAATAGCGATACTGCTATCGATTAACTTTTGCCCTGGCCAGCTTAAGTAAAACATGTGAATCATTAGTCCTATGTAAATTAAAATGTACCTCGAAAGCTCGTATGGACGATTCAAATATATTAATATCTAAAATAGAAGAAAATATGAGAAAAACAATTGTTGTACTTTCAATCACTTATGTCTATTACTAAATGCACTCACCACGACTGAGCCAGCACTTATTAAAAGTATATTAAATGCGATCACTACGAAAAAAGCATTAGAATATGACGATTCGAGTACTCGTCCGAAACTAAAATTAGATATTTAAATGAATTAAACATTATTATTTTGTTGAAACGGTGAATATATAAGTATGTAATATTTATTGAACTGATAAACATTTATATGTAATTTAGCGGCTTTCGTTAATGCTTCATATGCCATGTCCTTCGTTTCACAATTAAGCGTCTTGGTTTGCTTCGCATACTTTGTAGCCACTTCTAAACGAAACCTAAAAGTTTACGAAGGGGTATACTTTCACTTCTTTCATTAAACTTGGCAGATACTTATGAATTTGAAAAAATTACGTCCACTTCATTAAATTGAATAGCAATAATGTTATTTAAACTCACTTGACCACTGCTATCAATCCGATACACTGTTCAACAGTCACTGCGTAAGCTGCATCAATAGTGATGAATATGAAAACTGTCAAGATACAGGTAAGGCCTTCAAATATATAAATAGTTCCATAATATTCTAATTTATCAACCAAATAATCTCCATCTAGTATAAAAATTTTTCGTCGAGATTCGTTAGCCAGAGGTGAAATTATATCCAACACCAGTGGAAGTGCTGGCATAGTGATAAAAATAATCAGAGCTGAAACCATGTAAGCTGAAAAATTATACAATTGAGTTTTTAATTGTTATTACAGACATAAATTGTTATCAATGAAAGGTAATACATACAGACGTAACCTATAGTTAACAGCCGTCCAGTTTCGGAAAATCTCAACAGAATATTTCGCTCAGTTTTATTCTCCAATAGTTTCCAATTTTCTACTATGTTAACATAAAGAATTTTTATCTGCGAGAATGATAAATGAAGATGAATTTCATTTGAATACCCTACATTCATATAGACTAACCTTTTTTTCTGTAAGCATGTATATAAAATATTTCATAGATACTGTAATGAAATAAAATATAGTTCCAATAGCTTGAATTACTTTATCAGGATCATTTTTTGTTACAAACGTGCAAATGAACTAGAATTATAAAAACAACCAGTATATCATGAATGTACGTATTAAAAAATAGTCCGATTCAAACTAAAAGACAGTTATTGCATAAAGCGAAAACAAATCAGAACTTACGTGCGGAATCACAAAAATAACCATAATCGCACTATAAACAACTCGGATGACGAGCTTTGCCAGCGCATGCTGATAAGGCCAGAGCCCCATACATCTCAACAAACTCTTATTGATAATGAAATACCGACTATTGAAGAAATCCATTTCCATCGCGGCATGTTCATTTGAGACTCCATGTATATGTCTCTTGCCTCGAACTATAATTTTTCGCTGCGACGCGTTATTGACGTTTGTCGAAGTCATCGCTCGCCCTTTGTTCTCTCAGGTATAAGACATTTCCGAGAGGCAGCGGCAGAAAGAAAATGAGCGAATCAACGCTGCGACGGCGATTTGCATACGGAAAAAGTCGCAGACACGCATGTTTCGCACCTAAGCGAACAAAGGGAAAGATCTCGAAGAGCGAATATCGCGCGAAAGTAATTTTCCTTGGCGTGAGCTATTACCGTAGCTGCCGAACGTGCATAAATTTTGGATTAGTTAATGTCTATATCGAGGCGACGTGCAGCTGGACGAAGAAAAATCTATATTTGTGAGAAGTCACGGGCTTTCAGCGGTTGTGCACGACTGCTATGAAAATAATTCAATTTTGAATGCGATGACGAGTAACGACGACATCTATAACAGAAACAAATTTTCTCAAATGAAGAGGTAATTCAGGGTACGTATACAATATTTCGTCTAGGAACTGGTATTTTTAAACCTCTATATATATGAATGTTTCAAGTTTGGAGTTTCGATAAGTACAGATTTAAGTAAACGGAATGTAGAAAGTGGAGATGTTGATGAATGAAATAAATAGTCCAAGTTTTTCAAACTATAAGTGTAATTATCTCAACTTTTATGAATATAACATATATTTTTTTCACCTCGTTAAACATCCACTGGTAATTCGGATTCTCCTGACACTAGATCTTACAAAACGTAAGATCGGATGTATATTTACTTCAGCCCAATAGAATGACTACGATCAATAGTCGCTACAAATAATTATTATTAACAGCATTGAATAGTTGACTTTTTTTACCAAGATAAATCTTGCAAAGATGAATTTAGAGATGCAAATGTCACTATAGATACCGACCTGATCCAGGTATCAATTATTAACGATGCAAATGCTGCACGTGATAAATAATATCGATGATTTCGACGGCTTCAAATGATGAAGTTGTGGAAATTAAATAAGATCGACTATTAAAGTAAATAAAAACAAATACAAATATAATATCTACAGACTATAAAATTCTCAAATTTTATGATATTACATCCTTCGATGGTCAAATAAGGTTCGGCGCAGGATGAACTTCAAAAGGTTTTGGCTTTCAACAGAGCAATCATATCGCTGATTATTGAAACTGAAAATTAAATATTTCGTTGCTTGATACATTATTATTTGCTGCTTCCATGTTTAGAAATATTTTATATATAGGCTACGTAAAAAATGTCATTGTTTCCGTCAATCATGCCTGGCTCTGATATGTTAGATACAATGTACAGTAACCCAGCATTAATAACCAAATGTTAAATAAATATAAGTTTAAGCAACATATGTCACTGAACAATCATTGAAGAGAATCTTTATGAAAAACAAATATGAGTTTCACTTGAAAGTTCATAAAAATATTTTGTAATTTTATAATATTCGCTCACATTAACTGCTTCGCTGCAAGTACTAAATACGTTAGCAATTATAACGAATAGAAATGTTGAAGAATATTATAATGATTCCAATAATTAACCAAAATTATAATCAACATTCCCGATTATATGATAAAACTATCTTATTCTTTAATTTAAAGCGTAATTTCAAGATTTCAGTAAGTAGCCATATTAGATAAGCTAACGTGAGCAACATACTGAACTGTCGCGAATTGCTCGTTTGAGGTATGCACGGCAAGTTTGCGTAAATTTTTTTATACTCAACATAGGGTTAAGTCGCGTCATGTGTTGTTTTGAATCTTTTTTAAAAAATAGGAATGATGTAAGACGTGTGAATTATTTGGAAAATTCAAACGTAATAAGAACAATAGTAATATATATTTGAGTATAACGCATCCCTCGAACCAGATATTTAGCAAAAATAAGATATGCCGTTAATTGACGTTATTGCAAAGTATTCCACAGAAATAGCTCTCTCTAATAGTTATACCATGTGTAGTTGCCCTAATATTGGTATATTTGTAGATTATTTTACAATAAAAACGCTGATGAATGTGGTAAATATTTTATTTACCTGTGCACGGTGCTTATTTAGTTTCTTAACAGTTAGAAGTATATATTTAGAGATTCAATCTCGCTATAAATAGAGACCTTACTATGACTTTAGCCCTGTTGCTCATGAGATTATAGTTTCTATTAGCCTGAAAATAATTTTGATGAAATTTCAGTAACTTAACTTTTAAATAAATAGCCATATTATAATATAGTGCTATTTTAAAGTTCATAAAACTCATAATGTAAAACTTTTCAGTGGCCAAATAAAAAGATTTCATGTTTGCCGCATTACGAAATTCAAAAAATTCTGATATTCGGTGGAGATATGGCTAATTATTGTCATTGGAATTTTGAGGCTGATTACTTTCTATATATTTTTTAAATTATGTTAAATGTACTTTTACATATGCAACATAAATAAATGGTGTCATCACTATCTATTGGTTTTTGGCCCTATTAACTCAAATAAAATAGGTGAATCAATAATCCTACCAGGAAAGAAATCAATTTAAAAATGTATAATAGTCGTTGCAAATCGAAAAGAATCTTCAGTGGTGCAGTAATAAATTAATTATTGTTAATGTACCTCATTGTTACGCATCTCTACCGTAATCCGCACTCACGCCTACTGATGATACAAGCGTAGTTGATGTAGAATACATCAAAACAAATAATAAATTGATGGAATATGATGACCCCAGTGTCCGACTAAAACTGCAATAGTTTAATTTATATTTTTATTTTAGCAGTTAACATTATTTTGATAGATTATATGTATCTAGCAGTTGAAAAGAATGAACTTTAAAATGAATTTTACGGATTTTATTATTGTTTCTAGCACTGCATCCACGGTTTGAAAATCAATCGAACCAGATTCTGTCTTGAATTTTATTGCCATTTCCAAACGTAATCTGAAAATTTTCTATTTTATTTTGCTTTGTTTAAAGGCTACGTTTGTAAAAAACTTTTCTATTGAGATCATTAAAATACAGGTCAGAACTAGAACAGTACCAATTCATTTTTCTCATTTACTTTTGCAGGGTTCAATAAAATGCAAGCTCATTGAAAAATTAATGCTCATTCATTTTGCTCTTAATGGAAAACACAGCACTTACGTGATCACTCGCAGCAAACCTACGCATTGCTGAACGCACACTGCGTAAGTAGGATCCACCGTAAGGTATGTTGGTACGGTCATATAGGAAGCGCAAGCTTCAGAAAAGAAAATGCAATGGTAATATTCCCATTTATCTACTAAATATCCTTCGCCGAGGATCGACATCCGGTCCACAGTAACGTTGTTTGAAGGGAATACCTTCTTGATCAAATCTGGAATGATCGGTAAGCAAGCAAACACTTGTACAGTTCCAACCACGTCAGCTGTAACTGTTAAACCACGCATCAAAATCATTGAGAGCATTCATCATTTATAATACGTACTGAAATAAAAGATTGTTAACAATTTTCGGAGGATATCCCTTTCCTCTTCATTTTCGAACATTTTCCAGTTACACGCTATATTATTGTACGAAAACTCCGACTGCAACGGTAAAGAATACTTATTAGTCCGGTCTCAAAATAAGACAATGTAAATATTCACCTTTTCCTCGGTGAACTTTAAACCATATTTGAAGGCCATCGCGACAAAATAAAAGAATGTTCCTATCCCCGGAATCAGCAGCTCTACGTTGTTTCGATACACGTAAGCAGCAATTACCTAAACAAGATTTAAAAACCGGCGAGTGTCTCTTTATCAAGTACATGCACGTATCAAATGTATTTAGATTGGATATATAATTTCGGATTAAGCTTTGAGCTGAAGGTAAAATAATTAATTGTTCAAGTAAAATAAGCAACGCAGTCCAATAAAAGAGTTGCACTTACGTATGGTATTAACGGAACGACGATCACCACTGTGAAAATAGGGCGAACGATAAATTGTACTAACTTATTTTGATAAGGCTGAAGACTCGTGAATCTCAACATATCCATATTATCAACAAAATAGTGATCGTTATGAAATTCCATCTTGCATTTATTAGGCATATTTGGTAGCCCCTGCAGAGATCTGCGTTTCTCCAAGATTTTCTACGGTAGTTCTTTGTACTCTGGTCTGGGCAAAGCGATGCTACCCCCTTGACTCAAATATTAATGGCATATTCGTGCATGAGAAATGAGAAGAAAGCGCGTCATCGCAGAACCGCCAGTCGATTTGCATACGGAAGAAGCTGCCTGTCTTTCGCTGCGTCTTCGAACAAAGAAAAGTACCCGCTTGTCAACGTAACGGCTCGAATACCGTGCGAAAGGTGATATTATATCGCTTCTAAGCGCTATTATACTCAATGAATATTCGATAAATCCCATGTATTATTCATGTTGTCTCTATGCTTTCACCAGCATTTCAAGACTCGACACGTATTCCAAGCGCTGTGAAATTTTAATTATTGAAATACGTAATTAGTTAGTACAAAATACAGCTTTTTCGAAGATAACAAGCCATTATTTTTATAATACTGCAATTACTGTAATCAAGAGGTAGGTTTTTACAGGGTTTTTGTAGTTATGACTGTATAGAGTATTGATGATTGTTATGAACTTGGTTCTATTTCTATTAATCTTACTTAATAAGAAGAATCAATAAGGTAAAATATGAGTATTTTCTGACTTCTTGTGGCAAAAGAATACAAAACAAGATATAGTATTATTTTAAAATAAGTTTCTTTCGAATACAAATTGAAGCTGCAGAATTGGATACGTGAAAACTACGACGCCATGCGAGTAAAATTTATTACTCGTATATAATTAATCTCTATTACCATTGTGCGGCATCATCGATAATAATTATACAGTATCCGCGAAGAACGAAATATTTTGTATCAAAAAGGACTAAAAAAAGTATATTGGATGCCAAGAGCTTGAGTACCAGAAGTTCTTCGTTAGCGAGTGTGAGATTATACAGTACAATTTACGGCAAGCTAAAAGTCATTCGCAAGCTAAAGAGAATCGAAGCCTGACCCTTAAATACGTAAAGTAATATAGATTTCTTTTCCGCATAACGATTTTTGTATTTTTAATTATCTTTCATCGCTAAAATACAAACTGACTCAAGAATGACTTGAGGTAATTAGCACAGATGATTATGCGTATCTGTAATTTTCCTACTTAATGATTAACCATGATTGATCATATCAATAATCTTTATTATGAAAATTTGAATAAATTAAGAAACTAATATCTTACTGCGACACTCTTCTGGAATGTCATACGTTAAATTTGGCTAATTTTTATTATTGACTTTCTAACGGACTTTCTAAACAACGGTGGGCTGACAGGTCGTTGACTGATTTTCAAAGCGATCGTAATTTTTTCATTGATGATGGCCAGAAAGTCAGCGATGATTTGTTTGCAGTAACCTTCTACATACAATCCCTAGTAAAAATACTTTTATCATCGGTGACAATTCAACGGCAATTATTCTTCATTACCTGCACAATTTTCCAGCATCCATTTTCACAAGTAACGGGAAACGAGAAAAACACCCTAGGCGTCACGCCGTACGACCCGTCGGAGTAAACGCTCATGCAGGTCCATTTACCCGGAGGTGTACCTTGAATTAGGAGCTTACAGTGCTCGGCTAGCGCCAAAGCATCCGAAGTTCTGTATCTGCATTTCTGGAACGTGGCCTCTACTTTCTATGTGACAATGCGCATTTAATATATTTGCATACAGTTAAGTAACTTGCTAAAAATTAAACAATAAATGAACCTCTGGTAATTCTTTTCTTAACCATACATCGTCGTCGACTTCCTTCATCACAGATTTACCGTCTTTGAATTTCGCATAATTGCAATACGGAAAATTCTGCCTACTATTCGTACCCCAAATAATCAAGTTTGACACGTCACTCGGAACTCTTCCCATTTTTTTGGCTATCTAACGAATGATAAACATTAGAAATGTTTCAAAAAGAAAAATAAAAGTCGATGAGCAGTGGATAGAAGGGCAATATTACCGCCGTCGCGGCAGATTTTTGAAGAGCTAAAGAAACAGCTGTGATATTTTCCTTTGGGATAGACGGCGCGTATTCCGATATTAACGTCGCCGCGGTGTTTCCCAGAGTTATTACTTTTGCGTCTTTCTTCGCATATTTCTCGATCGCCAGTGCCTAAAATTGTTTCAATGTGTAATAGGTATTTCCTCGATGTCCTCAAATCATAAAATTCGGACCAACGTTACTCTTTGTTTCTAAAACGGCATCCTGAAAAAATTGATCGCCTTTAAGGTCAGTCTTGAAAAAATTGTAGTCGCGAGCTTTGCCTATAGAAAAGATGTAGTCTGCATCTTTGAACGCCTCGGATTCCTCTTTCGAATGAATAATATCTGGGCAAAATTTCAACTAGTCTTTAGCGGACAGAATGATAATAGTGAATTATAGAGAAGGACGACTTCCACGAATTTTCACCTCTCAACAAATTCGGAGCGCAAGCTGTTATTTCAATGACGATACCCTCGAGAAACACAACGCTGTCGCTCGTATCGAAAAAACTCAGAATAATTTCTTGATCCGAGCCAAAAACTTCGTCGCTCAGTAAACGATAGGCAAGGGATCGACTTGTGTAACTCATCGCCTCAGTGATCACCACGCGCAATGGAGGTTTATCTTCATTTTGTAAAGTTTTGCGAAAGACGGTAAGGTTACTCTTGAATTTATACTGATCCATTTCTGTTTATAAATTACATAGCAAGTTTATTTAACAAAGCAATCAGAAAACGCCGTTTATCGTATAAATTGACAATGACATTGAATAAACGTAAATAAATACATCATTTTTTGTTTAATGACAGTTTTTGTATAGTTAACCTACTTTTTTCGTCGTTGCAGTAGTATGTAATCCACTCATTACTGACAAAATCATCACGTCATACTTCAGTTAGTGTGAAGTTTGTGACGATATTGGTGCTTTAAAAAACTATCTCAATATTGAATTGAACTAATTGACATGTATGTACATTCATACATACATACATTGACATAAAATGATGTCACAAGCTCATTGATGAAATCGTCCAATTTTTTGTCTTCGGCTTATACTTTTCAACCAATAATGTTTATTTTCTTTAACCTATGAATAATAAACCTTAATAAATAGAAACGAGAAATTGACCAAAAATATCTTGAAGTTACGTAAATAAATTCTGGGCTGTTGTAAAAGCTCAAAAAGTTACCAATTTGAATACTTGATTACCAGTCAATAGCGCTTAAAGACACATGTCAAGTCATGAAATTATATAGGCTGTCTAGTGAAACTCGAAAGTATGATGCTCAAGCTGACTGAGCAGCTGGAAAAGTTCTCATAATACCCGAAGGCTCGAGCCAAAGTTTGCAACTGGGTCTAGTTGCGCTTTCTCAGAAATGCCATTAACGGCAACGCAAGGTTTTTCGATAAAAATGCCTGCTAAGAACGTCACACATTTTGACAACAAATGCTTTTTTTGATGGTGAAATTTTTCCCGTAAAATAATTTAAACCAAACGTAAACCAATGTCTACGTAGACTTAGGAATACATACGCATACAATGAGCACAGGAAGAAAAGCCTGTATACTAGACTATTCGTATCCTAAAGTTATTGGCAGCTTTTCCTCTTTTGAATAAAAAATGAAAATAATGCCCTGGTAAATTATTGTAATTGCGAGCTTTGTCCATGAAAAGCCATTCCGTTTCTCCGGTCTTCCGCTCGAAACCTTCATGTCTTCGGAAATTCAAGTCGCGAGTTAGAACTTAAATATTCATAGTAATGAAGTGTCGAATTCGGTTTCAAACCACCAACAGTTGTATATTTTTCGCGCGCGCGCGCGTGTTTGTGTGTGTGTGTGTGTGTGTGTGTGTGTGTGTGTGTGTGTGTGTGTGTGTGTGTGTGTGTGTGTGTGTGTGTGTGTGTGTGTGTGTGTGTTGTGGATTCAAATTCAGGATATTAAGATATATAAAAATAATGCGTTTTTTATTTTTATTTAGAGCATTTTCAGTGCATTATGAGACCATACTCATCTCCCGGACTACAAGTAACATTCCCTCCATGTATAAGATCTGCGATGATAACTCGCCAACGGCAGTAACTTTTCATCAAACAAATCCTTAAATGAACTACGCACATAGAAAAATAGAAACAAATTATTCAGTCACTATATCCTTTGATATAACCACACTCCTTATTAGTGTACGTGTTACGCCTCGCATGGTATAGTCCAACCAATAGTCATTTGTAGTGAGAAAGAGCAAAGTGATTTTTATTTTCTCTCCGTTTTTATCACATACTTTCCCGATTTTATCTGCCATCGTTAGGATGAATGCACAATCAAATCCTAATAATCCCAATGGACTTAAAATTATCGTCGCCGGGGAAATTGCTCGCAAGAAAATCAATGTCAATTTCAAGCATGAGCCGAAAGGTGAATCCTTAACCTATGAATTTGTTACTTACTTTATAATATTTTGTCAATTTTTTTTTATTTTCAAGTATGTTTTGGTTTCTGGAAGCTGTGTTCGTTATCATAAAACGTTAATCTTTAGACATTTTTGTTATACTTTTTTTGTATGTAGTTAATAATGAAATTTATATTTTAATTCCGTTTTCTATTTGTAATGTTTTTCTGTGTAACATATGTGTAAATAAATTTTTATCAGAGAGTTGCTTGGGACGTTTACCAATTTTAAAAGTAGACTGTACAGAAGATGAACTATTTAGTATTAGTGCGGCTGTTCAATATATTGCACCTGTCAGTGAACAAAATATTATTACTGCTAATAAATGGCTTGAATGGGATGCTACACAATTGCAGGTAATTTTGTCTATATCTATGTAATATGTATTTATAATTCTTTCGTGTAAAGCCAGAATTAATATGATAAAATATTTTAGCCTGCAATAGTATCATATGGAGGCTCAGGAAAGTTGGATGTATCGCATAAACCACGAGTTTGGTATCTTCTGAAACAGCTGAATACAGCATTGAAAAATGAACAGTACTTAATTAATGTAAGTTAAAATTATTATAAGTGTAACTTATGATAATTTTGAAAAGTTTTTGTTTTTATAGTTCAAATAATTTTTTTCAGGATAAGTTAGAAATAAATATAGTCGATGCTTCAATTTGGGTAACATTATGGTCTACTGTGGCTGTTACAGATAATGAAGTGATTTCAAAAGAATTTATTAATATAGATAAATGGTTGAAGCATGTTCAAAGCTTACCCACAATTCAGCAATCTCTGAAAAAAGTCAAACTTGAGAGAGGTATTCCTGCAATGATTGCCATGAGTGCATCATCATGGTTCCCTGTCAACACCTATACTGGACCAGGAAAATCTAGTGGGATGCCTGCATGTAAAGTAAGAACCAACTAACTATAAAATTAATTTTTTATTGCCTTTCAAAATACTAAATAAAAAATTATTATTGTAGATAAGTCCTAGTGAAGAAAAGGAGGTCAAAGTCATTACTAAAGAAGAAATTGCTTTTATAAAACAGAATTGGTTATCTAAATACCCTTCAATCAAAACCGTTTCTCGTATTATGTAAAAATCTTATATTTTCTATTCACAATATATATTTTATAGTTAAATTTTTACGTAAATTTATTTATTTAGACTACCTAAAAAGGGAGAAAGAAATATATTAATTACTTCAGCTCTTCCATACGTGAACAATGTTCCACACTTAGGAAATATAATAGGTTGTGTTCTTTCTGCTGATATTTTTGCTCGGTATGTTGATAATTAAATTAGTAACATAATGAAAATTAGTAAAATATTTTAATAAATATCATTCTCCTTAGATATTGTCGTCAAAGAAATTATAATACACTTTACATAAGGTGAGTACTTTAATTTGTTTTCTTCATATCTACTTACATATAGTATAACATATATTTATAACCAAATTCATTTAATATTTCTAGTGGAACTGATGAATATGGAACTGCAACTGAAGCAAAAGCTCTCGAAGAAAACTTGACTCCTCAACAGATCTGCGATAAGTATTTTGATATTCACAATGAAGTCTACAGGTGGTTTGGCATTGGTTTTGATCATTTTGGCAGAACATCAACATCTGAACAGACAGAGTAAATATACTATCTAATATAAATATTATATATGATTGATTGCAACCAATAATATACAATATCAAACATTGTTTTGTTTTAGGCTTGTCCAAAAAATGTTTTTGAGGATAAAAGATCAAGGCTATATTAACTCTAATAGCATAGATCAATTATTGTGTGAAAAATGTGATAGATTTCTTGCAGACAGATTTGTTGAGGGAATTTGTCCAGGATGCAAGTATGAAGATGCCAGGGGTGATCAGTGCGATGGTTGTGGTCATCTTGTCAATGCTACAGAGCTGATAAAACCTAGATGTAAAATATGTGGAGAATCGCCTATTGTCAAGGCTTCTACACAATTTTTTTTGGATTTACCAAAGGTAATTTCATTGATAGTATATTTATCATTTTCAGATTAACCAATTTTATTAGTCTTTCAAAGTATGGAAAATTAAATTTTAATAAGAAATTATTAAGAAAAATAATGCTGAGAAATGTCTTTAAGTATATCTTTAATGTGAGATTTTTGTGTATACTTTCTCATACTCTTTTTTATCTATAATTTTAATGATTCAATAGATCGAAAAACAACTAAAGCAATGGGCATTAGGAGCAATGTCAGGATGGTCGGCGCCAGCACGTTCGGTTACGAAACCATGGTTGAGAGATCCTCTAAAAGAACGGTGCATTACACGAGACCTGAAATGGGGTGTTCCCGTACCCTTGGACGGTTATAGAAACAAAGTGTTTTACGTATGGTTTGATGCTCCCATCGGTTACATCAGCATCACCAAGAAATACACGAAAGATTTTGAGCAATGGTGGAGACCTGAGGATACAGATGTTGAACTGTTTCAATTTATGGCCAAGGATAACGTGCCTTTTCATAGTATTATGTTTCCGGCCGCTCTTTTGGCTGCCAATATGAAGCATCTCCTCGTAAAACATATTATGGCTATTGGTAGATCTTTTTATATTTTTTTTCAGTGAAATACTTACAGCCAGAACATTTTTCAAGCACTTCAATCAGTGTATATTATTGTAACTTTTATTAAATTTATTTTTATCACAGAATATCTGAATTATGAGGATACCAAGTTCTCAAAATCAAGAGGAATTGGCGTATTTGGCACAGATGCACGAGAAACTGGCATTTCAGCTGACGTCTGGCGTTTCTACTTGGCCTACATTAGGCCTGAGACAATGGATTCCAATTTTAATTGGGTCGACTTGGCTACTAAGAACAACAGCGAATTACTAAACAACCTTGGAAACTTTGTCAACAGGTTGATCAAATAATATTTTCAGTTTTTAGTGGAAAAAAAATTTACTGAAATAAATTTTATTTTTTAGAGCTCTCTCATTCACTGAGAAAAACTATAATTCCCAAATTCCACCAATGGAGCTTCTTGAGGATGATCTCCATGTTCTTGCTTTGGTACAGCGAGAGTTGACGAGCTATATTGCATGTTTGGAGCAAACTAAATTACGAGATGGACTGAAGCATGTAATGGCTATTTCAAAGCATGGAAACCAATACATGCAAGCTCAAGAACCGTGGTTTAAGATCAAGGGAACCGAAGAAGATAAGTGAGTTTCTAGAAATGCTTCAGTAACATTTTACAATATTTGCTTTAAGAATCATTTAATGACATCTCGCTATTTTTACAGGAAAAAAGGTGCTACGGTTATAGGTGTAAGCTGCAATATTGCTTGTCTTCTTTCTGCACTTCTGGCTCCATATATGCCAAGCACAACTCGTGAGTTGAGAGCTCAACTGGGGCTGCCAAAAGAAGACTATGGTTATATACCAGAAGTTTTGTCGATTATACTGCCAGCTGGTCATGCGATCGGTAAACCGTCACCGTTATTCTCTAAAATTGAAGACAAACAAATTGATGAGTTGAGGCAGAAGTACGGTGGTCGACAAGAATCGACACCGCCACGGGATACTGCTCAGGCACCTATAGATATTGTTTCTTTAGAGGCAGCAATTGTGAAACAAGTAATTTAACGTTTTTCGGCTTTTAAAATTTCTGTTGATTTTGACATGCAGACAATTAGATGTAATCTAACCAAAATTATTTTTACAGGGCCTCAAAGTGAGGGACCTTAAAGCTAAAAGTGATAAGAGTGTTTGGATGCCAGAAGTAGTAATTCTTACAGATTTGAAAAATAAGCTGGCCGAAGCTCAAAGTAAAAGCGGTCAAGCTGCAACTAATTTTCAACCAATACCCAAAAGCCAAAGTACTGATATAGTTACTGCCAACATCGCTGTTCTTGAAGCGGAAATCATAAAACAAGTAGGAATACTACTTTTGTTCTGAAAATAATCAAGCTACCATTTATTTAATTTAATTTTTCAGGGAAACGTTGTACGAGAACTGAAGGCTAAGGCTGACAAAAGCGTATGGCAACCTCAAGTGGATATTTTATTGCAGTTAAAACAATTATTATCAACGTTGACAGGCGCACCGGCTACAGCGCCTGCCGAAAAGAAGTCGAAAAAGAAAAAGTGAATTCGTAAGAAAATGCGACCGTGAGATTTTTATTTGGTATGAATGAGTATATTTAGATCGATTTAAAAATTTTTTTTTTCGATGGATTGTGTATTCAATTTTGTACCAATATGATTATTTAAAGACAGCATTACACACATAATAAAAATTTTTTTTTCATTTATCTGCTATCATTTTTAATTTAATATTTCCTAAAATTTGGGCATCTTGATTATTTTGAAAATTTGGTTATGTGTTACTGAATACAAGATATATATTTAGTGGTAGATGAATATCACAATTCATGTACTCTACTTTTGTATGTATTACGATGTAATATTTACACCTTTTACTTTCTTGCTTAGTGGAGTAATATATTTGTACATTGTCTCGCCAGAATTGTTTAGTTTTATTTTATGAAAAGTATTATTTCCAATAGAATAGTTTTTTCACTTCTCAACGGTATGACTTCTCTTTCTGTTAATATAAATTGTATGAAATTTTATCATCAGCAGAAATATTAAAATTATATTCAACTGATTTTTTATTTAATTATTTGGAATACAATTAATATCACTGAAAAACGATAAATTCAAGATTTATTACCGATTGGATTTTCTCTGCAAACTAAATATATTTTTAGTCTTTGATTTTGATACAAATATTTAACCTATTTCTTTAGAAAATAATAATTTAACAAAGATATCTACAATAAACATTTCACTTATATAAAAGAATAGAAGTGTTTGCATCATTTAAAAAAATTGAAAGATAGTATACATTTTCAAGAATATATTCTAAACTATCTTTATGTATAAACCATGATTATTTATTTCTAGAAAATTTATAATTACCCTTCATTTAATACTAAATTATGTATTAAAAGATATATATAATCTCATAAACATTTATCAAAAAGTGTTTTGACTTTTAAATTAAATAATAAATTTTCATACCAATTTAAAAATGTATGATGTTTTGGATGGTACGAGTTTGACGTTGACCCCTAAAATGGTACTGACGAATACCAATCCGAAGGTTCTAAACCAACGTCTTGATGATATATTATTACAAGCCCAGCATAGCACAGTGTCGTTAATTAGAAGGCCAGGAATATTGACGCAGAATAAGAAACTTGAAAATATTGTCGTGATGGCAGGTAGAGCTAGAAGATCCTTGAAATCCTACTTAGGCAACGATGCAGATCCAAGCGGTTAAAAGCTTCATCAAGTTTGAACGCAAACGCTAAACTCGTTCGAATTACCAATTCCGAAAAATTATTTCTTCCGAAAAAGTTTTTCAGTGATGCTACTTCCGGGCTACTTGCGCAACATTGGTTCAGAGGCAAGCATCGTACCGACTGAACAACACACTTACTAAATACTCTTGTATAACGTTCAAGATTTCATGGCTTTAAAAAAGTGAATTTATACTAGATTTCATGTACAACGGGTCGTAAAGTAGAGTACTTCAAGAATATTATTCGAAATAGAATTTGAATACCAAAGTTTAAAGTATGCACGTACACAAAGTATAATATAAAACATTGAAAAGTAACTAGGCAACTTATATCATGTCAATGATGTAAATTAAAATTATTTATTGAATAACAAAGCATTGACCGAGCTTCATTATCGTATGAATAAATAAGTATAACTAGTTCGTTAAATTTATCTTTGTTCGAATATGACGCGCTGATGAATGTCACATTCATTTTTTATACAGTGAATGGATAATTTTTTCAGATACAAACAAACAAAAATATAGATAAATGATCCAATGGTGGCATGACGTTATAAATACAGTGTATGACTAGTCGAAAGCGTTTATAACAAATCCGAAAATCGCGTTGAAAGAAAGACTGACGAAAATTGGAATCGAAAGAATCCTAAGAAGATGCCAGTCTCAATCGACAGCAAATGGAGGCGCGTACTTGGTCGTCAAGAAAAACTTGCCTCGCAATCTGCAACAAATGGGTTACGATCAGTCAGTTTTCAAAGTATCGCACGAAACGCCAAAGTTACGTGCTTAATCGAGTGATAAATAAAACTTACGACGTGGAGGCATATTCGCCCATAAGAACGATGGGATTGCGATCGCAATGTCCATCCTTGTACTTTTCCCAGGATTCACAGCTTCGTGACTTGAAGCCTGACGTACTGCCAATACTCTCGGTCATCAATTGATAAGCTCGCGTGTGACTACAGTAAGCTGAAAAAATTAATATTTTGTTAAAAAAATTAATATCATTGAGTTTATTTGTTGCTGTACGCACTGTTCGTCGGAGCAAAGTTACAGCCTGGTTGAGGGAACTTGCCACTGTTAGGATAGAAGTCCGAATGGCCAATGGCTGCGAGAAATCCGAACGCTGTACCGCTGGTATGAATTACATCGACGAATTGAGCGTCGGTTGGGTCTAGACGAAAGTCTGGATCTACTACTCCAGTGGATGTTTCGTAAAGTGGACTTGCCGGGTCCAAACCTTCGAAAATAATATAAAATGAATAACTGTATATCCTCTAGAAATAAGATAAAAATACCTGTAATTCTGCCGATCCTTCCTTCTAAAAACGCTCCAGCAAAACCAGCCACGTGAGAGCCAAGACTATGTCCACACATGTGGACATCCTTGTATTCCAAATTGGATTCACGACTTAGAAAGTCGAGAAAGATGCTGAGATATTCGCCAACTCTTCGGGTATTATTTGCTGCGGTTGGATAAGGATCAGCTGCGAGGATACCCCAACCGACGACGATTACGTTTACGTCTTGATACTTGAGGTAAGCTGCAATGGAGAATGTATTGAAGTGCAAGAATAGTATAGAAGCTGATTTTACTTTATAAAAGATTTAACTATCGCCGATTATCTTTAATAGTATTTTATAATTGCTTTTAAAGAGGAATCGACTTCAATATAACAAAAAAAATTATTTATAGAATATAGTAGATAATTAAAATAAAAATCAATCACAGTGAAGCTCAATCTCCAAGCTTCTAGCAACGTTAGCTAACGTTGTTGAAAACCACGTTACGTTCGCGTAGAAGTGAAAAACTGATGTCACATATTATAATTAGAAAATGACATGAACACGCTGATTTTTCCGTCACCGTGAAAGTGCTTGAATGAAAAAAAAATATAATTCGAGAAAGTTCATTTGAGGGTTATCGTTGCGCTGATGTGCAACAATGTCGACATACGCTTCTTTTTTTTCTTTCTTCACTCGAAGATAAAAGTATGTACCATAGTCTATTGACGCAAATTCACTAGAATTCGTAATATGTTGCCTTACGTGTTCATAATAAAAGCTAAATGGTTCCTAATCTTACTATCAATAAGGTTTCGTATCCATGCCTCTTTTCCGGTGTCACTGAAACCATGAATGATGAGTTTAGTCGGTCGACTCTCATTGAAATGCGACGCATACAAGACTTCCGTGTTGTTTAACAACAATTGCTCCTCGCCAAACATGTTTTCTCTGCAAAAATAGAAAGATGATATGTTATAATTGCATAATTACGCTTCTTAACGGGTTTGTATCTGTGATTGATGTCATCATTTAAGTCATATACGATGTCGTCTTCATTTAGCGAGACAATTACAATTGATAAAAGATATATAATTTGCTTTTGCCATTATAGTAACCAGTTATGCTGTAGCAGTACTATTTGGAAAATTTTTTATGGTTTTATGCATCACTTACTTATCAAATTTATTACTAGACTAAAAAAGCGCCGAAGAATAAGCCAATCCTTTGTGCAAAAAGAAACAAAATATTAATGAACGGAATTTCAATTTATAACAAATTTAAATATATATAGTTTATATATATATATATATATATATAAACTAGCTTACGAAATGGTGATTTTTTTTTACTTTACATGTTTTGATTTCCTGAACTGATCAAAATTATCTAGACAAAACACTGACCTATTTCAACATTAAAACTTTTCAAGTTCATTTTTATTTAGCTTTTGTTAAGTATACGTCGTTCGTCGACACTGACTTGCTTCCCACTCGCGCGCGAAATCAATCAATTTGACGTTACTTTGAATGCGTTCAAGCTCAATCAAATGTATATATGCGCTTCCTCGCGAGTGAAAAACTACGATGCTGCTTTTGAACTTTTTCAGCGCTGTTGTACGCTTGAAAATATAATAATAAATCGAAAATTTTTAAGTTTATTACTAACGTAATTTTTATTTTAATGCAATTATTATTTCGTAAAATTAGAAAGTTCGTTAAATTTTCAAAACACCTGCATTATTTAACTATTTGCAAAGCCATAAGGTTTCAGTCATCATGTTACTCTGCTAATCGTCCTATCGAAAGTCATGTTAATCATTCTACCACAATTAGACGAGTCAAACATCGTCACAGGTCTCGCCGAACATCAATTAAATATAAAACTTCAAAACATTAAATATCAAAGAATGTCGATCCGTCTTTCACATAATCTCTATGACCAAAAAGGTAAAGACAAGAGAGGATCGGAAAAAGTCACGTAGGCACGGTAGGTTATAAATCATGGGTACAATAATCTCGTTTCTGATAAAGTTAGGAATGTGTATATAGATAAACCCTTCTCATCCCTACGCCTATTTTTCTTTTATTTTTGTCTTCATTTTTACTGATATTTATTTAAGACGCGCGTCAGCGCTGAGAATAGATTTCGTTTCGAGTGCGCGCATACGCAGCATATTCCTAAAGACATCTGATTACGACGACGACGTCCCGGCGCGCAGCCACGCGCGACTACATAGGCGCCACAGCAAGAAAAAAACAGAACAGTTGTAACATTGTAGAAACGCCGCCGCCGACGGCTTTTCAATGATGATTGACGTTTCCTGCGCGTGTATATGTGTGTACATGCAAGCGTGAAATTTGATTTATTAACATGATCGGATTGACGCCACATGGCAATTGCGTTCTATGTTTGGATGGACGATTGATCTGTTGTGCTTTTTTTCATTTTCAGCACGTGGAATTTAGTTTCTTAATTCGTCGGAAATTCTTCATTTTTGCAAATAGTTGAGACTTTTCAGCAATTACACGGAAAAAAATAATTTCTTCTATTTGCTGCATGTTTGAGAAAAAAGAAATTTGTTTCATTTATTCAAATATTCCTTAAGGATCACAGTTTCTGCAGCATCTGTTTCAAATTGATCGTTTCGGAAATGATTGTAAAGTTTTTCGAAATTGCTAATTTGCGAATCTAACATAGTTATTTCGAAATTAAAAATGACGAGTCTAATGTAACAAATTTATTTGATATTTTTAACCATTTTTTTAACCAGAAATTCGTATTATATAACTGTATGTGGAGAAAACTTAGAAAAAATCGCAGTTTTCACTACATTAAAAAAACGAATTTTTCTTTACAAAACGCTTTATTACATTAATTAAAAAAATAATGCTTTTAAAACTCCAAAATGTACATATACATATGTATAATATATAAAAACGTTGGTGTTGTAGGGAAAAAAATCAGACAAGAAATATTGTAGATATCTGTTACTATACCGTCTTTTAAAATGTGGAGAAAAGCTTTTTGCAGCTTAAGACATATTTTTAAATGATGTAGAAATTTCTAAATAAATATTTAGTATCTTTTTCAAAGGCTCCAAAGAAAATAGTTTGAATAATGTCGAATTTTTGATGACACTAATGATCGAGGAATGTACCAAGTTATCTGAAATCTCTGTTCAAGATCTGCCAGTAGGGCGGATTTTTTCTATGTTATTTTTTGATTGTAAAAATATACAAGCTTATGAAGCGTTACGAACAATCGTTGGAGAATTGGCGATCGACGCCAATAACATTAATAGGATGTAATTTATGCATTATAATTTGGAGCGTTATTTTTGGAACGTACATGACATGTGGGCAAACCGGTTGTACGTAAGTACAGATGCTGAGCTAATGGCACATACGTCAAAAGTATACGCGATAATAAGTCCAAAAATATACTCGGCGATATACATGTGCGATCGATTCCGCTACATTATTTTCTTTCTTTCTTTCTTTCTTTCTTTCCTTACTCTTGTCCATCAAACATACCAACCCTATTTTTTATCACGCAATTATTGATATCGTTACATTTCTAATAACCCCGTTATCGTGCAAACATAGACATTTCAAAAGCGAGCATTTCGACAACGAATAATCAATGAATGACTCGTCAATGATACTTATCAAAGATTTCGCAGTTCAAACACGTGATCGCAGAGACACATTACAGACATTCTAGAAACATTATGTACGCATTTAGACGCGAGTTGGAGAGAATTTGTTGCGGTTATTCACAGAGAGGGCTTTGTGTTTTTCATTTCAGATTAAACAATATCAACGTCGCGTTCGATACGGATAAAACGCAAAAAAGGTGTCAATAAATGCCTGTTGTGCTTTCGGCAGATGACTGTGACAGTCAAACAGGCATATCGCTAGGAGTGTCAGTTCGCAATGGACCGCCATCAATACGAACAGATCAATGGTGCAAAATATGACAAACAATTAAATCGCTACTCACCTAGTATATAGTTTAAACGTCGCCGGTTCTTTTATCAATTTTATGGCCGTATGAATAATTGTTTCGACTTCGTTTAGCAATGAATTTTGAGGTGTCACATCTGTTGTGTCCGCGTTAACTGCAAAAATTAAATGGACTATTTTCAAAAATACAATGAAAAACGAATTAATTATATTATAATCTAACATTATCGCCATATTGTCATTTCTCGCCTGGCTTAACTTTAGTTTTATTGATTAGGCCGATCGAAAGGTCAAATGTCGCGCAGCTAATAGATTTACAAGAGTATTTGATTGAATAACATTTTTTTTTCAACTTTCAAAATAAATTTTTCCAAAGAGAAATTACAATTAGAAACAAATTTTTGTTGGAATGTAACACGATCAAAAAGTCGAAAAAAGCTTTAGCCTCAATGCGAAAACCGGTTTTGCAAAGTCGAAAAAAAATCCGATTTCAAATCCACGTCGTCGTAAAAAAAGCAAAAAAAAAAACGTAGAGCGAACGATTTTTAACAGGCAGCCATTTCATCACTCTTATCATCTTCAACAAGGCATTCTTCTTCCACTGAATTCACCACCGCCATGTAATAAGGAATTAGCCACTCACCTGTGGTAAGCAGAGAAATAAAAAGAAGACAACAACAATTTCGTCGCAGCATCATTGTTGACGAGGACGGAAAGTGAGTAACCACAAGGGAAGTTCGCCACTTGCGAATGAGTACGAAAGCGAACTATGCGATCCGAGCTTTTTCGGAGCTGCTGCCTCGCGAAGCAACGTATCGTCGGCGACTAAAGTGCATGCAGCGGAGCGCGGATTTTCAGTGTCGAGATCGATTATAGAGGCGCCATTCGAGCGGCCCGCCGGCAACTTTCTCAAGCGATAATTATTAAGCGCCGCGCCGGAGCTCGTTTATACACAATTACTAACTCACGCGCACCACTATACGTCTGTTTGTGCGTGTGCGTTAATGACGTTTCGAGATTTTATATCTCTTCGCCACACGCATGTTATATATATGTATATACGTGTACCGCGAGCGGCGCCAGATAAATCGTCTCTCTCTCTCTCTCTCTCTCTCTCTCTCTCTCTCTGCGCGTATATATGGGCTATTCTATGCGGCCTTTTTCTTTCTCCAATTTGGTTTCTGGCGAGACGCGATATCCTCCTCAAAGGAATCCACTTTGCACTCTGATCATCAATTATTCGGCTTTTTAGGTTCCTTTTTTCGGTTTTTATCTCGCGGTCTCTTTCATGCTATTTACTCAGGAATTTTTAAATAATTTACGTACACTTTGTTTCTCGGTATTGATGGATTACGGGTGGTTGATCATTCAGTTTAACATCAATTAATTAAAACTTTTTCGCATACTTCTCAAAATTGTTCCTGGAATCAATTTGGAGTATATTTTTAATTGAAATGTTACATTAAATTGCTTGCCTTGTCCTTTGCATATAAAAGTTTATTCATTTTTATTTGAAAACCTATTGCGCTTGAAATTACATCCCTGTCTACAACACACTTGACACATCGAATATTTTTGGGTTTTATATTTTTACGTGAAAGACTGGCAAAGTAGAAAAAACATCATGAAAATATGAGTGAAATAAAAAACAAAGTTATACATCAGAGTTTAATAAAAAAATAAAAGAGTTAATTTGAAAATTGAAATCGTCAAATATTTCTATTTTATTCAAGTTCAGACATAAACCGCTTCACTTATCTACGTTACACCCTTATACATCATTTCTATATTTACTTGAAAAATATTTTTTAGTGCGATTTCACGACACACGCTATCAACATTTTTCTGTCATCGTGTACTATTCCGCTATATGAAATGTCGCCAACGCATATAAATATTATTAAAATGAAAAAGAAAAGAAATAGCCGACAAATAAAATAGACAGAGATTGCTATAGACACCACAGCACACAACATGATTCTTGACATGACATCATGCTCAATTAAAAGCACAACAATTTTTATTGAGCGCGATTTTCCGCAGAAAATTCTGAGTCTACGTAAGCGTCGCAAGAATACGGCTATCATTGAGAGATATCGCGATGCAAAATTGCCGCGCTATTCTCGCGGTTTTCAATTACTTGTCACGCATATGATGATCGTTAGCGGCTAGATTTTACGTATACGTGTATTGTTTACAACTAGTTTCGTCGATCATTTTATCGTGTTTGTATGTGTGTATGCGTATCTCCAAAAAATATATTGCATTGACAAGATCAAAGATCTAATAAATTGATGCGTATATGTATCTTCTTTATTTTTAGCGCAACGCAAACTAGCGATTGCATTTTTATAGGAGTAATACGCACTTTGGCAGTGCACTATCGAGATTATTGTTTATTCATAGCTAACAAGTGAAAATGATAGTCAAAGTGACGAAATCTTGAACAGAATATAATTTGTCTAATATCAGAAATAATAAACAAGACTCAGTCTATAGTCCGCAAACTTGTAATGCAATATGCGTATAATTGCTGGCAGTGTTGAAATCTTCATTTTTTTCGGAAGTTGATCGTGTAATTCATGAAAAAATGGCATGATACGATAAGGCTTCTCTATAAGTCATTACAGTAGAATATACTAAGCGATGAAATCATTTGGTTATACATGATTTCATTTCTCCGACTCACTTAAATCTGATGAAACAGTATTACTCCATTGAAAATTAACTTTCAATTGAATATAGTTCTGTTATTATTATTCAGAAAATTCTTGACTCTATATAATAAAAAAAGATCTGTTACAATAAAACTGTCCTAATTTTGCATTATCAAAGCGCGTAATATCCAGACACAAATTGAGATGATGGGAATCTCAATTTTTTGTAACAATCACTACTATAGTTTGATAAGCTGGCACCGTAAGTTATATCGCGAATATAATGACGTTACAAGATTAAAACTAAACGAATTAATCAGTATATAGCCGTTTCTAATTTGACCAAATTTTTAGGATATATATAGATATATAACGTTAGACTTAATACATTTTAGTATTGTCCCGCTTCTGGACCTTTTTCTAAGTTTCCAATAAATATTATTGACGCTTCGATTTAAAATCCATGATACAGAGAAGTGGCAAGAGATATTAAGAAGATTTTATTTTCCTTTCAATATAAGGTATATACATACGTAGAGATATTTGCCAATTAGTCTGATTTCAGCCATTATTTGAGAAAATGTTCCAACATGCAGCCTTAATTATAATTTCTTTTAATAAAATTTTGGTTTAGAAAAATAATAAATAATAAGCTAAATCTACTCAGCGTGGGCAAGTTTCAAGTTGAATTTTCTGAAAAATAATTTTTATGAAATTTATTATGAATCCGTACGATTTTGTTTCAAAATTGACATCATTCAGTAACTATACACAGACACATATGGATTCACATAGTCATGTCTATACTGTTTTGAAATATCGACAAAATACGATACTGATGAATTCTTTATTTTTTTGCTTTTAAAACTTAGATTTTTTAAATTAGAAAGGCTTCTTCCAAATTGTATTAATCAATATTATATAGAACATTGAATTTCAATACTCGTCACAAAAAAATTATCTGCTCTTCTCTGATTGGATTAGTACAGTAATATGCGGCTTCAAATCGCTGACGCGTCGTCAGCTGGGTCGAGTCTGTAATCAAGTTAAGATGTTGCCGTTGCCACGCGTATTATTTTCGAAACTCTACTGCATCTTCATTTTCGTCGTCCTAGCAGCAAGATGCAAGGCAGATGACATCCTTGGCTGTGGCGGCTTCATAAAAAGCCATGCCGATATTGACTTCAGTCAAATTACCGTGAAATTGTAAGCTCCAATTTATCCTAACCTCACTTGCATTAATGAGTTTTATGGATTGAATTTGATTGATTCTTTAATTTGTGAGTCATTAACGATCTCATTTAATAATGTTTAAAATTTTAATGATATTTTCTAAGACTAAATATTTTAATGTTATTTGAATAGTTTGAAAAGTAATGTTTACTCTGCACAGCAAACAAACAAGTACCATTTCATTTGACAATGGTTCCTAAGTTAAAGATTTTTCTTGTTAACAAATATAAATTTTTTTCAGATTAACTAAGAGTGGAAGTGTAAAAGATCACACTGAGTGCGCTCCAAACACAGGCTACTATTTTTTACCTGTGTATGACAAAGGAGAATATATCCTCAAACTAGAGCCACCAAGAGGTTGGAGTTTCGAGCCGAATGAAGTTGCTCTCAATATCGATGGTTCAAGCACAGATTCATGCAGTCAAGGAAAAGATATCAATTTTATATTCAAAGGATTTGGTATTACTGGCAAAGTTGTTTCTTCATCATCTAAAGCTTCAACTGGAGTCAAAGGAATATCCGTTTTACTTTATGATCAAAGTAACAAGACACGCCTTGGATCAACTGTCACTTCTGAAGGTGGCTCATTTTCATTCACTCCTGTTCAGCCTGGAAAATACATCCTTGTAACTAGTCATCCAACGTAAGATATTTTCTTTTAAGAATAAGTGTTAATGATTGGAGTGAATTACAATTTTTTTTCTTATTCTACAGATGGGTAATGGAAAAGCATTCAACTATTGTTACTGTTCGAGAAGGTAATACTGAACTGAAGGATGGAGAGCTCAGTGTGTTTGGTTTTGATGTCAATGGGCTTGTTACTACTACTGATAAAGAGCCAGTGGCAAATGTTACTTTGCTTTTGTATACTGTGAGTACAAAGAATTTCAACTTTATAGAGGCCAATGAATCTGCATTATTAAATCTGCATTATTTAATAATTTTTTTATTTATAATTTATAGGCTAACAATGGTAGAGCAAGAGGTTGCTCTCCACACCCAGTGGAAGGATTTGGTTTCAAAGCATTTGACCACATAGCAAAACCAATATGTTTTGTTATAACTGATAATAATGGAAGATTCTATTTCCCAGCACTATCTCCAGGAGAGTACATTGTTTATCCATTCTATGCTAGTTTAAAAACAACTTTTGAAGTCAGCCCTTCAGAATTGAAATTTACAGTTGGTCACAACAGTTTAATTCTGCAAGAATTTAAAGTAACTGGATTTACTATTAGTGGAAAAGTTATGGCATCTGTAGATCCTCCAATTCCTCTTGTAAAAGCTAAAGTATTTTTATCAAAAAACTTGATCGGTGTTACTGATGACAAAGGAACTTTCAAAACTAATGTTGAAACTAAACAGTATGTGCTGTATGCAGAAGCCAGTGAGTATTATAAAAAATACTTTCAAGTCATAGTAATTAATTTTAATGATTTTGCAAATTCATAATATTTTTATTTGTTTAGACGATGTAAAATTTGAGGAGAAAACTGTAAAAGTTTCTCCAAGTAATCCTGAATTACCAGTTTTGATGCCATCAGCCTACAAAATTTTTGGCAAAGTTTCATCATCAACCAAAGCAAGCTTAAAAAATCGAAAAGTTTTAATAAAAAATATATCTAGCAATGAAAATCTAGAAGTTGAAATAAATGCTAATACTGGAGAATGGGCTATATACTTAAAACCAGCTAAATATCAATTAAATGTGATTGTTAGTGATGAAGAGAAGGCAAAAGGCTTACAGTAAGTATTTTGATTCCTATATGATTCTATTTAATACTGGGATATTTATGAGAAAATTATTGATTTTAGATTCTTTCCACTCCAAAAAATCGTTGACGTTACTTACACGCCATTGAAGGATATTAACTTTTTACAGCTTAAAGCGACTTTAAAAGGTAACATTGTTTGTTTACCAGACAAAGATTCCAAGGGAGAATGCAGTCAAACTCAAGTAACTTTGAAAATGATTGATGGCGCTGTTGAAACTAAAACTGTTAAAACTAAAGGTAATTAATTTTTTTATTTAATTTAGCATTACAGAACATATTTATTTATTATTATTTCACAGATGGCGAATATACATTCGAAGACGTATTACCTGGGCAATACGAAGTCATCGTGGATACTGACATTTTTTGTTGGGATAGCTCAAGTTATCAAATAGTGATTGCATCTGAAAAACCACCCAATGTGCCAGCATTCAAACAGACAGGATTTTCCGTTACCTTTATTTCATCTCATGACACCATAGTCGAGTATTCATTACCTAATCAACCAAAAAAGAAATTATCGTTCCAACTTCATAAAGAAAGCACCAGACATTGCATTGCGATGTCGGGTAAATACGAATTCTATCCAAAAGGTTGCCATAAGTATTCCAAATCTTCATTTGCATGGAATACTCATGAAAGAACTCCTATCATTCTATCTTCAACTGAACATCTACAAAATGGTTACATTCTGAGTCCTGTAGCTGTAAATGATTTAACTGTTAGAATTCAAGGAGTTAGCGAAGGAAAATCACCTTTAGTGTAAGTATTTAGATTTTGATAAAGTTGATAAATAGTATTGTTGAAGTTCAGATTTTTATGTTTAAATTGATTGTTGCAGTCATAAAAACCTTAAAAATGTTAAAGACGGAGACAAACATAAATATGCATTTACATTTTATACCGTCACTGGGGAATCTTATACTATTTTTCCAACATCGGAAACATTATTGTTCAATCCATCTTCTCTAAAAGTTGTTGGACCAGATGACTGTAAAGATAACACTGCTGTTTTTCAGGCAGAACAAGGAAAAGTAAAATTTTTTATTTTTAATATATAGGCGATTCTTAATTATTTTATTGGGTCTAGAGACACTTATATAATTCTTCTAAATAATGAATATGTTTGTAACGTTTATTTTTTTAAATTGTAGGTTATCAGTGGTTCTATTAGTCCACCACTGGAAGGTATTACGGTGAAAATTTTTGGTTTGGACAAAGAGGATCCAATTCACACTCTAGTCACACAAAAGGATGGATTATTCAAAGTTGGACCTCTTGATGGGCGCATTGAATACAGGTTCGGCTATAACTTTTCAATAAATATATTTTAATGGACAAAATTTCTCTAAAACTCATTACAAATTAAATTTACAGTATTACCGCTGTGAAGGAAGGTTTTGTTCTGACGCAAGACACTAATGCAAAAGATTATAAGTTCCTTGCTCGAAAACTCGCTGAGATCAATGTCGAAGTCGTCGACACTGATGGATCTACTCTACAAGTATATATAATTATTATATAACTCAAATAACCAATCTAAAAAAATCTCTTCAACGAATAATTTTTCTAGGGAGTACTGTTATCACTTTCTGGCGGTGGTGGAGGACCAAACAGCTACCGCAAGAACATTATGACTGGTGAAGATGGCAAATTGACCTTCAATTCATTATCACCAAGCGAATACTACCTTCGACCAACGATGAAGGAATACCGTTTTGAGCCAGCCTCGAAAATGATCCGCGTGGAAGAAGGCAAAAGTGTCTCTGTTAAACTGGTTGGCAGACGAGTAGCTTTCAGCGCTTATGGCGTAGTCACTTGTTTAAACGGTGAACCTGAAAGTGGTCTGATGGTGGAAGCTAAGGGTCAGGGGGAATGTGCTCATTTACAGGAAGAAACTATTACTAAGGAAGATGGAACTTGGCGTATCCGAGGTCTAGAGCCTCAGGTAAAATTTGATAGAACATATGTTTAAGATATTTTTTTATTTCATTTTCCGTAGATTTATTTTATATCGTATATTCTCCGTCGTTAATCACTATATGACATTACTTGAAGAATATTTAATAATATAACCTTCATGTGATTCTTAAAGTTGTAATCTAATATAGTTTTAACTACAGTACTTACATTACATTATCGATATTTACGTAAATCTAAGAGCACGTTTTAAAGAGAAAACATATGATAAATCGTTATTATACTTAAAAAAATTTACAAACTTCATTTATTACGACAAAATAGTTAACCTATTATTTATTTTTAAATAATGTTTCAGTGCATGTACGCTATCAAACTGAAGCTGGATGAAAATGACCCAAACAGTCGTACATTACGGGCAATCCCCAGCTCCGTGGCGATTCAAGTTACGCAAGACGTTTTCGACATTAAACTAATGGCATTGCAACCAGTATCTCGCACTGACGTATCTGTCAAAGTGATTTCCAGCCAACCAGAGAACTATCGGACATTGAAAGTAATTAATTACGATTTCTAATTAAAATAAACAATAGAATAAGAAATCATTAGAATTTACATTTTTATGTACAGGTTAAACTTTGTCGAGAAGATTCACCGGACTCGCCAATTCATATAGCAAAAATCGACAGCCAGATCAACACAAAAATGAACAACGCCGGTTTCATCCTTCATTTCCCATCCCTTCAAGCCGACGGCAAGAAATATTTCATCCAGTTTGAAACGTCTCTATCTCGATCGACTCATGAGTACAAAATAACTCCTATATACTTCGAAGCAAATTCATCATTCAAGTATATCGAACTTCGTTTCGAGGCAGATCGCAAACACGAACATGGTGATGCTGGTCAAATCACTTTCGTACCTCTCCCATTTATTCTCCTCGTTATCTTTGCTTTCTTCAAACGCGAGTCACTATCAAGTTGGCTGAATACAACTATGGAGAGATGGTCGAGAAGATCATCAGGAAGTAGAAATTCCCAAGCAGCTGCACAAAATTTGATGGCGGTAACTGATCCTAGAGTCGACGATATAATCGTTGAACAAATAAAAAATATCAACAGCAAGAACGTTAAGAAGCTCAAGCCAAGGAAAGCATAGTGGTATGAGTTTTAGTGAGAGTAGATTAACTATACACAAGTGAATTTAAGGTGTTTAAGTAATATGAATCATATGGGATAGAGAACTATTTTGACGATGATTGGTATGCATATAATGTACTTTTGTTAAGTGTTTATACTTTTGGATGGATATATAATATTATGAGCAGTATACAGTAGCTTTTACATGATTTCTTTTCTATAAGAGCTTTTCTAAAATAACAAATATAATACTTATTTGACGAGATAATAAATGTCGTAAGGTTATTAATGATGACTACTTATTTTTTTTGTTAGTATACCGTGAAAGTCTGAGCAATCTTACCCTGAAAGACTGCAGGATATATATGACATATAACTGAAAGCGTTGTGATATAAATATTACATTTATACGTAGAATCGCTTTTATTAATTAAATTCGTGAATCGACGATTCGCGAAAAGTGACTATTGTAATATTCATAGAAATCAATCGCATTAAAGCTAAAATAAATAAAAATAAGTAATAAATAAATTGAAGCTAAACAAGTTGGCTTATGAAAGTCACTTGTTAGATTTCTTATAATTATAAATTTTATATGTGTTCAATCTATTTTACACGGTATGCACGTAAATGTGTAGACTTAAAATTAATTTCTAAAGTAACAATAATTTATAAAATATAATAGTATATTACAATTGTTGCTGTAAATAAAATGTAAAAATAAACTATCTCGTATTTCAAATTATTTATTCCCATTATCACTCATAATTAGAAAAATGAAATTATTTCTAGTCAGTTAATTTTCACGTCTTAAAGCTTATTTTTATAATTTTGAAATGGAAAATAAAATTCCCCAAAATCGCATCGTTTATTTATTCAGCTGACCATAACGCTCAGAGCATTATCACTACGAACGTTCGAGAAGTGGGGAGAGTTATTTATACATCCTTTATGATGGAGCCGGGGATTCCACAGTGCTTAACTAGATTTCGTTAGACGCAACTAACCTTAAGCATAACAAGTCGACTTGAACTAAATTTTTGTAATAAAATATATATTGGATAACATGTATCGTTTAAAGATAATTGTTGCGTTTGCGTTGTGGCTGACTGCTACGTGCAGTGGGAAAAATATCGTACTGATCATTACTGACGATCAAGATTCAGTGCTGAATGGAATGGTTATCTTTTGTTTATTTTTAAATGTTTTCATCGATCAGGAACTAATTAATTTTGATTTAGGAACCAATGCAGTTTACCCGAAAACTAATTGCAAACGAAGGTGTAGAGTTTAAGAAAGCCGTGAGTATAATTTAAATGTTTTCATCTGTTCGTTTTGGAATCCGGAAATATGTATATTTAAGAGGGAAATAGCTTATGCGCCCATATATATTATTCATTGATTTATAAAATTTTTTGAATAATTAACATGAAAGTAACCGAGGATTAGGGTACGATACGTTTCTCTTAACAATGAACGTTATTTTTTATCTCATAAATAATGTTCTATTGGCATATCTAATGTCCATATTCAAATAACGCACGAGAGTGTTAACTTGCGCTTCGTGTCTATTAATAATAGTTAAGAAAATGTTGTTTACAATGTTTCGCGTATTGTTGAAAGTCATTAATTCACGAATGATAAATTAATCTGCTTGATAATTATAATTATAGTTCGCTGCAGTGCCAATCTGCTGTCCAAATCGTGCATCAATCCTAACAGGCCGATATCAACACAACCATAGAACTTTCAACAATTCGATAGCAGGTGGTTGCAACAGCGATGAGTGGAGAAACATTCACGAGAAAAATACTTTTGCAGCAGTACTAAAACAACAAATGAGATACAATACATTCTACGCCGGAAAATACTTGAATGAGGTATGTTATCAATCGACATTATCATTACTTCTTGTAATCAAAATAAAATATTTTCTATAGTACGGTGAGAAAAGTACTGGTGGTGTAGCTCACATTCCACCAGGATGGGACAAGTGGTACGGATTAGTTGGTAATTCGAAATATTATAATTATACATTGTCAAACAATGGTCGCGAAGAGTGGCATGGAACACGTCAATCTGACTACTTGACGGATGTCATCGTCAGTATATATCATAAAAGCAATTTGTGTTCCCTCAACATTTCAATTTTTATTTCTATTGTTGTTTATCTTTTTTTAGTGGATGTATGCCAGCCAGTTCTTGAAAGGACAGAAAGCCGACAAACCTTTCTTGATGGTTTTGGCACCACCAGCACCGCACGAACCTTTCACCGCTCCGACTCGATATGTTGACAAGTACAAGGGCAAGATAAAAGTACCAAGGAATCCAAATTTTAATACTGATAACCCAAGAGTTCGTAACGACAGAAATTTATCTTTCGCTAAATAATCTTCGCAGATTTATCCATGTGTTTGCATTTATAGGACAAACACTGGCTCGTCAGAATGGGTATGTCACCTTTACCCGTGGATGTCACAACGCGTTTGGATGACATTTATAGAAAGCGATGGGAATCACTTTTGGCTGTCGATGAAATGGTTAACAATGTTTATACCACCTTGGCTGCGCAAAATTTGCTTAACGATACTTACATAATTTATACTTCAGATAATGGATTTCATATAGGTCAGTGTCAAGTCGAGTCAAAAGTTATTTAACTTTGGTTTCTGAAGTCAGTGAAAAAGTCATTGTTAAAAAATCATTGATTATTGTTACTTTTTATCAAAGAATAGTTTCATTTGTTTGCATTTGAATCCCCAGGTCAGTTTAGCATGCCATACGATAAAAGGCAGCCATACGAAACAGACATCCGAGTACCACTGATGATGCGTGGACCAGGTATCGTTCGTGGGACAGAAGTCAAGTCAGCGGTGAGCAGCGTTGATTTATTTGCTACTATTCTCGAAATCGCTGGAGTAGAACGTCCTTCTGACGGCGTGTCATTGCTGAATTACGAAGTATTGGATAGGACTGTATTAGTCGAGTATCATGGTGAGAAGTCTCATGGGAAATCAAATTCCGGATGTCCTACTGATGCTGATCTTAATCTTGCGGTAATCATGCATTTGATACTTCTTAAAGGAAACGAAATTCTATGTGGTTGTTTTATTTATAGTTGTGTCACAAAGATTTTGCCTGCAAGTGTCAAGACGCAGCCAACAATACTTATACTTGCGTGAGACGAGTTGCTGAACATTACAACAACGTTTTTTGTCTTTTTTACGACGACGAGGTTTGCGTTCATTTGCGATGTAATAATAATTTTTAAAAGTATATTTTATTCGTATAAATCTTTGCAGCACTTCGTTGAATACTATGATATGATAAATGATCAGTTTCAATTGACAAATTTAGGACCTCGAATGAACAGTGGACAACGTTACAGATTCAGAAAACGAGTGAAGAAAATGTCTATTTGCAAAGATGCAACCTGTATATTGACGAATCCTCCTTATAAAGCGCATGCGCATTGACATGATTTTAATCCCAATAAAGACTTAAAAAATGTGATCTTGTCACTTGTCAATTTTTTATGCATTATATAGAATTTTTTTAATACATGTATCGAATCTCAGGTAAAAATAAAAACATCAATATTTACAAAATGGCAGTAAAACCAAATGATTCCTTCAATTACAAGTAAAATTACCTCTCGAAACATAAATTCAATTGCAAATACGTAATATTTGCGATTTATATGTAGGCCTTTAATTAATAATAATGCAATATCTCAATAAAGGCGCATGACAAACTCCGTATTAAAATCCATATTGCCGTCATAAACATCAAACACTCATCTCCCCATGCGGATATGAAATTTGTCAGCGTAAAAGCAAAAACATGAAAATATTCGGATTCGCAAAACCTTTCTCGCGTTTTACAAAGCAGCAAATGAAACGTAAAGCAAGCAGCTGCCATTGTAAATAAATTGGAATAGTTCATCGAAACAAAATAGAAGCACACAGGAAACATTAGAAAATAAACACGGTGATAAAAGTTGACGTGCGCGTGCGGGGTATGGTTTTATCGAGCGAAAAAGCAGATCCGCTCGCGGGATATAAGAATAATGCTCTCGAAAACGAATTATAGGGCACATTATTCGAGGAGCGCTCATATAGCCGCAGTTCTCTCTCTCTCTCTCTCTCTCTCTCTCTCTCTCTCTCTCTCTCTCTCTCTCTCTCTCTCTCTATCGCTGTTTTCTTGGCAAATATTTTTATTCAGATCCCCGGCTGTGGCATTTGAATACATCTGAATAGCGGAGGAGGGGAGAAAATGAAGTTCGACTGCGATGCGCTCTTGTACATGAAATCGATGAGGGTCGAGTATAATAATCGATCGCTTGTAAATATATAATATTTAATACGAGTCAGCGAAACGGTTGATTTTTTCTCTATTAAACGTGTTCTTGCCATGGGATTTCAAGTTCTTTATTTAGGATTTTTAAATTTAATTGAGTTTTAATCACTTACTCCACTTTATAGTACGGATGTTTCAAGAATTACGTGACCTTATAAACATAACTTTGTTCAGAATGATGAGCAAGTTCATTTGATCTGTTTCTTTGTTCTTTTTAATGAGAAGAGGTCCATGTACACTCTATTGGACTAAAATAAATGTTCGATGTTTCGTTTTCTTCAGTAAAGAATGCTTTACCGCAGTATCAAGAATGTTTACCAAAAAATCTTTTCAAACTGGAATAAACTACAAAGCGTCGGATAATAAAGATATTCTCGACTGACTTTTTATGATTTTATCTCGGTTTAAGATGAGTTTGTGGTAAAAAAATTACTACCAAAGGGAATAAGCACACATACGATTATTTTGCGCATTAAGTGCTGAATGCATGTGTAAAATAATAATGTAATACGTAAACAACAACAACCCAATACCTATCCGATAGAACGAACTTATGTTTTACTCAATACAATAAATGCGATTGATTTTATTTTATTCCGTACGCTATATCTATAATCTGTTTCATCCTTAACAGCAAATGATATATGATACAACCTTTTAACGCAAAATATAATCATGCGTAAGATTCTAAAAAGAAGAAATACCGTCATCATCATCATCATCATCATCTTGTATGTAACGTCAACAAACCGAAAGTAGAACATTAAGCCCGGAAGAGCTTGAAGAATGGTTGGCCCCAGTGTAGAACTCTGCATCTGCGCAAACGATTAAACGGATCCTCGAGAGTTGTTCAGGCGCCGAGTTGTACAAACAGACTCTCTCTCTCTCTCTCTCTCTCTCTCACGGCAACTTGGTCCGGGAAAAAAGAATCGGCTACCGTGTAAAGAGCTTGTCTCGCGAGTTAAGGTCTCAGCAGCACACGCCTGTGCGTACGTGTTTGTACGCCATCAGACTATATTGTACATGCTTCTTATAGTTTGTTGACAAATTTTACGCTTGGCGGGCATAAGGCCCATAGATCCACATATTGCCGGATTGGGACGTTCTTTGTGGGATAGATGAAGAGAACACCAGTAATATTGTTTTATGGTTGGACAGTCGATTGCATTGTCTTATTATGGTTTCGATGTAAGATTTACAGTACAAGTATCAATTATTTGATACTTTTCCTTTAGTAACGAACTTCTTTTACTCCACAAGTGGATTCTCTATACTTGCACTTTTTTCATATACTTCATGTTTTTGTTGAAATAATAAATAAATAAATAAAAACAGTAAAATCGATAGAACCATCATAGCAGAAAAAAGATTCACATCCAAATAAATTTTATTTTATTAATCTATGCAGCTAAAAACATTGAAAAACTGCAACACGTTCAAAGAAACACGACGCTTTATATACAAATACCAAGAAGCAACTACCCACGCTGCCCACATCTACATCCCTAATACGGATATAGCTTGCGGTGAAAGCAACTGGCTACTTTCACACTAAGTAAAAAACACCTTTATCTGCATTTAGCCTTACGCGCGCACGGCCGAGATCACTCGTACAAGGCAAAAGAGAATAAGCCACAATGAGAAACAAATCGAGCAAAAACGCGCGGAGGGCCACACCGCGTACGGCAAGTCGAGTTGCCGCCGCGCGGACAGCAATCGTTATTGCCGCTCGATCGATCCCCGCGCGCTCGGTCGATTGTCAAGGGATTAACAAGTTTTTTTTCTTCTTTTTCTTCTTCGTTTTTTTTTTTTTTTTTTTTTTTTTCTCTCTTCTTGTCGAAAAAATTCACTCGAGCGCGTGATCGTCCTTAGGTACGCTGGTCTTTCTTGGGAACTCACGGACACTTATTTTTGTTGGGAAATCAGGCGCGGTTTTTCGGAGGAGACATGCAAAAATAAAGAGGGGCTTTGAGGATCTCACGCTCGATCGAGGCAATTATTCGGTTTTCATTTAGCTTTTTTCGCGATTCCGCTCTCGGGGGCTCCCTTATTCTTCTGCCGCAAACAGGTTGAACATACGCGCGCATTGTGTTCAGATGGCATTATTTGCATCTCGCGTTCTTTTTTTTCTCCCCTTGTGGCGAACGAAAATAAAGAGATCCGTTTCTTGGATATTGCCAATTAGGTTGCTTTGTTGCGGGAAAGTGTGGCCTCTGGTAAGACTTGTGGATGAACGTAAATGCACGAGAGAGATGTAGCTTCCGTTGATGTTTTTATAGCATATTTTTCTTGGATGAACTAGTTATCGTAGCCTGTGTAAATATATATCGGTACGCTGCTGTGCGAATCCAACGCCATATCGAACTTGAAAGTTATAGCGATGGAAATTTTCCTCGTGCTAATTTAGATATACGTCTATTATGTAGAGTGGTACAGCGTCAAGTCGTTCCGAGCATTATATGACAATCGCCAAACAGCTTCGCGTCACGCTCGAAAAAACAAAAGTCATCCGGCGTGAAAGTGATCGACTCCAATTAGAGTATCCGCCACGCAGCCGAGAAAAGTTTGCGTAGAATTCCAATATGAAACGGTGAATTTTGCAGGAGATACGCGCCATCTTCAAAGCTGCGAAATCCGTTGGGCGATCATCTCCCCCAGGCGAGCCAGCGCGACAGAGAAAACTCCTCCTACGAGCAAGGTAAAGGGAGGTGTCACTGCCTAGGCTACGACTCGCAATTTCTTATCCCCACTCCCCTCTTATTTCTTTGTCTCTTGTATAAGCGCGAATTCCCTGCGATTTAACGGCGAACGTTCTCGCGACGAGGAACAGTTCTTTTTGATTGAAACTCTCTTTTGACGGGAAAGAGTCCGAAGGCAATTAACGACGTCAAAGGAGGTGTAACGAGGCGAGTTTCAACGAGCGTGCTTAACTTGCGTGCCAAACGATTTTTAGATTTTATCCGATGTTACGGAATGACTGATTATTTGCACTTGATCGTTGTATTATCCATTGAGCTCTGACTGCGAAAGGTGATTTCGAAGGTACGCGCCAACGCGCGAAGAAAGTCCCGATGACGAGTCGTTCGAGGTTCTTCCTCACCGCGCGTCCACCCTCGAAGCTCGCGCGCTGCCTCGAGAACTCCCCATTGTTCGCCGGGCTTGTGCAAACGAGAGCGAGAGCGAGAGAAAAGCCGGGGAAAAGCGTGCGCGCACACACTAGACGGGCATTTAGGCACAATGCCAAACTATAATAGCTATGGGAACATGGCAGCGAGGAGTGACGGACACGCGAACGCTAATTTCTCGTATTACAAGACTTAAACACGACGAGCGGCGAACCGGGGGCCTAAAACAATATTGGCGCGACGGGAAAAATTTTTCGGACCGCTGTTGTATCGAGCCCGTGTATCCACGAATTTATATTTATTTTGAGCGCGCGAAATGTGGGGCGGCTCTATGTATAATGTTTGCCTAGCTTGGCGTGTAAAGATTGCTGTTTTGTTGTGGGATGAGATCGGTTCCTTGTTCTTGGTGAGTACGTGTCTGCTCAACTGTATACTTTCGGCATAATACGTAAATGGAAAGAAATATCTTGCAAACAGTTCGGTTTACACCGAAAAATAAGAATTAGAAAAGTCATGGATAAGACTGTAGTAACCCTTGGATCCCTTTTCGAGAAAAATCTTGCGTCGTATTATTCTTCAAAATCAGCTGTGAACGGTGAAAAAGCAAATCGGAATGACGACAGCGAAATTTCACCGTGGCGCGCGTAAGAGGGCGAGAAAAGGAAAAAAAGGAGCGGCGCGAGGGGGATTGGGGGGGGGGGGGGGATGATACGTCAGAGGGCTGCCGAAAAGCTCTCGGTAATATATTGTTGACCCAGTTAATAGCCTGGTGTTTGATTTGACTACTGTTGTTCCGCTGCTGCGGTCTGCTCTCGTCTGGTTCGCATATAATAGCGCGCGTAACTCGAGATATTTCTTGCCGCCGTGCCGGGCTTTGTGTCGTTCAATATCACTTTCTAATGCGTCCCAATGATTAATCAACGAGTTGAGTTACTTTGACTACGTGTTCGCTGGACATTTTCAATACTGAATGCGCGAAGCAAAAGACAACAATGTATCTGGACATTTCATCGATTCACTTTCTCTATCTATAATATCTGGTTCCTCGATCCAGATGATTGTTTAAGACAGTTGATATATCGAGTAAAGATATTTATGATAACAGTGTAGCACCAATGGCAT